ATCAACCCTCTATTTAAAAAAAAAAAATATTAACAATAGAGAAAAAGATTGAAACTCGAAACTCCAAAGTACCAAAACACCAATGGTTTGTTTACTAATTAGGAATTCAATTCCTAATTTTGGAGGAATTCAATTTTTGGGTGAGATATGGTATTTTAATTCTTGGAGAACTAACCCATTAGGAAATCATCTTTTTTACCCATTATATCCTCACTATATTCTGAAAATTACAAATTTGTCATCTATTTTACCCCAACAACAAGGACATTTTAGTAATTAGTACCACTCCTATCCTAATTCTATATGGTTTAGTAAACAACTTCGATAGGATTCCGAAATCTAATTCTCCTCAATCCATATGATTTAGTAAACAACTTCAATAGGAATCCAAAATCTAATTCTCTTCAATTCAACTCCTCTTTAATTCAATTACTCATAATCCGTACGGATTAGTAAACTGCCACAAATCTAATTTTTGAGTAATGAACTTTTTTTTTTCCCCTGAAGGAATATTTGGGTAAGTAACCTAAAAACAAAAGTATCGCATAAGCAAAAACCTTCGAAGTATATAAAAACGTGTGATATTTTGGGTATTATCAAACTCCATGCGCGCACCCCAGCCCTGCAATTCGTGCGTTGCGCTTTCTTTATGTGAAACGATGCACCGACTCACTGCCATGGCACGTGAGCACATGACACCTTAATCTCCATTATTCTTTCTCTCAACTTTCGTTAATTACTATTTTTCTATATACAACTCTGCAAGGCGCAAGCCGAGCACCCTCTCAAAATTTCCACAGGGCCACCGTTTTGTATGAAAGACAATATTACCCATGCCACACATGTCTCATTCATTCTACAAATATTCTTAAAACTCTATTATTTGAGTTGGTTGCAACATTCATTTTGTCAAAAACTAGTTTGGATTTTCTAGTACTTAAATTGGATTACATTGTTGATCATAATAAAATTGGATTACATTTGAGTATGAGCAAATTAAAAAAAAGAAAATTGTTGTAGTTTATCGTTTGTGAATTGAAGGACGCCAATTGGTCCATAGCTCGTAGTAAAAGCATTTAGTGTTAAAGAATATAAATTCCACATTGGAAACTTGACTAAATAAAATACAATATATAATAAATGGTTCTACTACTAATATTACCGAGACCTTTTGTAATAAAACCTCACACCCACTGGACTTTGTAGGTGGTTAAGCTGGGGACAATATCAGTGTTGTTAGTAGTGAGCCGCTAGCCCGTCTATCTGAATTAAACATGGTATCAGAGCGGGTTGATTGACTAGGCCTGAATTGAGCCTTCACCCTTACCCAATATGTGGTGTTCACATGTTGGGCTTGAATGTTTACTCCTATCCCTTACCCAATACGTGGTGTTCACGTGTTGGGCTTGAATGATTGACTTCGATGTGAACTTGGCTCCACGTGTGGCTTACTATGTAGGGGTCCCACGTGAGGGGGCATGTTGAAGAATATAAGTCTCATATCGGAAACTTGACTAAATAAAATACAATATATAATGAATGGTTCCACTACTAATATTACCGAGACCTTTTATGATAAAACTCCACAACTATTGGACTTTGTAGGTAATTAAGTTGGGGACAATATCAATGTTGTTAGTAGTGGGCTGCTGGCCCGTGTTTCTAAATTAAACATGGTATCAGAGCATATCTGAATATTTACCATACTTTGTTTTACTTGGTATCAGAGCCAAGTTTTCTTGTGACCTGTGCTTGTGTTCTCCTTGAAATTAAAGTACTCTCATCTCCTCATCTTTAGAGAGAGAGAGGGGGGGGGGGGGGGGGGGGGGAAGGGGGAGTGAAAGAGATATATTTATTGATGTATCCCAATTACCTTGACGTATTCCCATGAAGATGTTACTTATTTCTTGACTCCGACGACCCATTCTCTTCAGAGGGAGAGGAGGATTGAAGAGAAGTTGTGTCTGTGTAAATTAGCTAAAGTTTATAAGGAAGAATTTATTGTTGCCATTGCCGCTAGTGCCACCGTTGATGTTGCCGTTGATATTACCATTGCTGCAATTGTTGCCATTGATGTTGACTTTGTTTGCTTCACTTTCCGTTGTTATGGTCATTGCCGATTATGTTGCTGTGTTTTGATCCGTCTCTACCCTAACCCTAAACACTACCTATTTCCGTTGCACTATACACCTAACCTATAATCCTAGCCCGCTGCCGCCATCTATCTTGCTACTATCTCCACTGCCTTACTTTCTGTCGTGCTCACAGGGTTTCTGTGTTTTGCCTTATCTACTGTCGTGCTCACAGGGCTTTTATGTTTTGCCTTACCTATTGTCGTGCTCACATGATTTCTGTGTTCTGCCTTACCTACTACCGTGCTCACAGGGTTTCTGTGTTCTGCTTTTATGTGTTCTTCTATGTGCCCTATTTGTTAGGGTTTTTATGACAATGCCTTCTCTACAGTTGTTCGATTGTTCAATGTCGAGTATGGTATTCTATGACTCGCTTGTCAAGTTGGGCATGCGAAATATCTTTGCCCCAACTTGAGGGGAAGTGTTGGCGAGTCCTTACTTAGTTAGAATTTTGGTTACTTACCCATTTATCTAGTCCTATTATCATTGAGCTTTATTTCCTATTGTAATTTATATTTATTTTCTATTGTAATTTGGATTTATTTTCTATTTTATTTAGGGATGTACTTCTCTATAAATACCTCTATATTAGATAAGAATAAAATATGAGTGAATCTGAGCATATCTGAATATTTACCCTACTTTGTTTAACTTTCAGTTGCAAATTCGTGATCTCAAATTTCAACCTCGTTCACACTTCTCCTCTACCTTTCAAATTTTGAACAAATAAAAAGAATTGAAGGGGCAAATGTGAAGTTTTGATCACCTTAGTCATGAAGTTAGGTGAGGCAAGTAGCAAGAGGGGAGTGCTAAAATGTTATAAGCCATTTGGATACTCATGACCGTACAATATTTAATTATGATTACACTAGGTGTTTTGTCCTTGCAAACTGACATAACAACAATATCATATTGTCTTAAAATATTAATCCAAATCTAACCGTCAGTATCCACGTTATCACCTTTTTTTTTTTCCAATCCACGTTATCACCTTTGACTGGTAAAGATTCTGTGCCATCCCAATTGTTTTAGTTATCTTTCATCTTCGATATTCGAGAATTATCGAGCTCAAATGGGTAACTGGGGCGAGAAATAGGTTTCTTATAGTTGGATTGATGTGCATCAACCTAGTCCTCTCATTTCTTAACAATTAAATTTTAGAATGTAATAATTGTTTAACATAATATCTATATTTTCGTTTCAGAAGGTCCGAGTCGGAATTTCCAATTTATATTAACGTTACGTTTGTTTAGTTTTTAACATATAAGAAATAAATGATATTTTAGAGTACAAGTGATAGTTTAAAGGGAGTTCGAAACTGAGATCTCTAGTATGAAAGAAGGATATTTTTTCATTCGACTAGACCCGTTGACATGAGATGAATGATATTAGCTATATATAGCACAGTTATTTAAAACTTTTTTAAAGTCCAATGATTATTTAAGAATTAAGAAATACTTGCTATGTACCACAATTCAACAAGCAAGTGATGAGGGGAGAAAAAATATTGGTGGGTTGTCCTCTTTATGTCCAAATGCATTGCTAACTGTCAAACTCCAGCTTCAAGGCACAATTAGGAAGCCAAATGTTGGTGAAAATGAAACTTTTCCCAAACACAAAGTTCAATTATACTATTCAGCATTCAAAATTTACCGATATTTGCTGCTTAATCAGTGGCTTAAAGTGGAATTGCATGGCAGCAAACCCATTTATGATGTCTGTTTACCACTCAAAAAAATTAACTTTTTGAAATATTTTTAGCAAAGGGTTTGTACTAAATAATTTTTCTTGCTTTTATTTTTTTGTTGTTGTTGTTGTCTATTGTGCAATTAATTCCAACACCACCGTTAATGGTGCAATCATAGGCCTATAATTTTGACACAATACAACGAAAGCAAGATATGATGCTGAAATGTAGTTGGCTAAACCAGCATCATGTAACAGTAAAAAGATTATTACGACCAAAGGCAAACCAAAATCCCCCAAAAAAAAATTAAAAATTAAAAATTAAAGGAACACAAAAGTGGGTTGTTGGGGGAGCTCAGCAGTTTGGCTGGCTCATTCATCCGAAGGGTTAAACAGCATCAGCATGCATGGTAAATATTATGCCAAATTCAGCGGAAAAACTTGTACGAAGGAGTTTTGCTATTTTCGGCCAATCACAGACTGTCATGTGAAAAAATAATCATGTGTGACATACTGTAATTAGCTGAAAATATCAAAATAGTTCTATTCTCATTTCATGTAAGTGTGTCTCCAAATTCAGACGTAAAATCCAACGCCTAAACTGACAATGCTAAGAAAAGGGCAAAATGGTAATTCCAGTGTAATCTCTTACTTTATTGTTCTGCTTTTGCAAGAGACAGAGAGCAAGGACAAAAGCTGACCCCACTGTTTATATTTTCCAAGGCTTAAATACTTACAAGACCCAAAACCCCCCACTTTCTACTGCTTCTTCTTTTTGTTTTTTTTTTTTTTATTTTCTCATCTCTGTCAAGAAATACCAAAACTGACTACTTGGGACAAACAAAACAATAGTAAAGAAAGACAAGGTTGCTAAACAAAAATAAAAAATAGAAATTAAACACAGAGAAAGAGAGAGAGAGAGAGAGTAGAGATGAATAAAGGGTGTGCTTTGTGGTGGTTGAGCAATGTGCAGGTGCCAAAGAAGATAGAAAATTTAAGCTGAGTTTGAATGAGAAGTATGCAGGCTAGTTGGCAGAGTTTCCAGGCAGATATAGATAAATAAATAGAAAGTAAGAAAGAGAAAAAAGAAGAAAGGGAGGTGGTGGTCTTAAAATTGGACAAGTGAAAGAGGCAAAAAAAGAAAATAAAAGTCATAGAAAAGAGAAAGAGATAGAGATTGAGATGGTGGGCTCAGGAGCAACAGATAGGAGCAAAGAAGCTGTTGGGATGATGGCCCTTCATGAGGCCCTCAAAAGCGTCTGTCTCAACACAGACTGGACTTACTCTGTCTTCTGGACCATCCGTCCACGCCCGTATGTCTCTCCTCTCTCTCTCTTAAAGTTCTCTTCTTTTTCTGTCTCTCTACACTTGATCTGATGTCTAGCTTTGGATGCTTTGATTTCTAGCTGTTTTCTTTTCTGGGTTTAATTCATTAATTTGTTTTGTTGCAGGAGAGTCAGAGGAGGTAATGGCTGCAAGGTTGGGGATGACAATGGCAGCTTGTAAGTATATAATATATGGTGCTTATGTAAAATGAGAATTAAACTTTATTTGAACTACTAAGCACAACTTGGTTAGCTATGCAATTCAATTTTGCTCTGTTTTCTCTCTGCTTCTCTAAGGAACAGGGTGAAAGCCAGAGGAGCTGACTAGGAATCTTATTTTTTATATGAACATGAGTTTTTAGAAATGGGTTTTTGGTAATTTTGTGATTTTAGTGTTGTTTATGAAATTTGGTGAAGGATGTTGATGTGGGAAGATGGGTTTTGTCGAGGAAGAGTTTCATCAGATTGTCTTGAAGATATTGATGGAGAAGATCCTGTCAGGAAAGCCTTCAGCAAAATGTCCATTCAGCTGTATAATTATGGAGAAGGGTGGGTACTTGGTATGTGTTTTTTTGTTGTGGTTTCTTCTCCTCTCTCTCTCTCTCTACCTACATGACAATCTTGCAGGACATAAAATATGGTTCTTTTTTTGTTATGGGAAATAAGTTCTTCTTGTATTTGTGCTGTCATTGGTTGCACTGAATTCAACACAGGTTGATGGGGAAGGTTGCATCTGATAAGTGCCACAAATGGGTTTTCAAAGAACCTACAGAGTGTGAACCAAACATCTCCAACTACTGGCAAAGTTCTTTTGATGCTGTATGTAATAAAAGCCAGTCTTTTTTCTCCCTTTCACCTATATATTTGTCAAAGTAGACAAACTGGAATTAGCACAAGTTTGTGCTTAGCTAGCACATATTAATGACTGATAGTAACCTTTTTTATGCTATTTATTGCAGCTTCCTCCTGAATGGACTGATCAGTTTGAGTCAGGCATTCAGGTCAGAACAGAAACATTTACTGCTTCAATTATTGGTCTCATCATTTTGGTGTAATTTTTTTTTAACAGTTAATTTATTTTACCAGACAATTGCTGTAATTCAAGCTGGTCATGGTCTTCTGCAGTTGGGCTCCTGCAAGATTGTGAGATATATATTTTCTTTTCACATTAATATTTGCTTTAATGCTGCAAATTCACACTAACACAAGGACATGCACAATATGTATATCAGATACCAGAAGATCTTCACTTTGTACTAAGAATGAGGCATACCTTTGAGTCTCTAGGCTACCAATCTGGTTTTTACCTCTCCCAACTATTTTCCTCTACCAGAAACAACTCTGCCTCATCAGTGCTTCCTTCAAAGCAGTCCCCAATTCCGATCCGGCCTCCTCCTCCTCTCTTCAATTGGGCTCAAAGGCCTCTTCCATCTGCAACAGCTATGCAGCTGCCTTCACCCAACAGTTTTCAGAACTCTGCAGCCAGACTTGGATACAATCCACAAGCCAATAAAGATGAGACACACATGTTTTTGCTGCCTCATTCAGCCGAAACACAAATGGGAGGAGACATGATGGGAGGAGGAGGAGGAGGAGAGCATGAAAATGACATCAAATGGCCAAATGGATTGTCTTTCTTCAATGCCCTCACGGGACGTTCTGATGATGCAAAGCTTTTGTTCAATCCGGAGAACTTGGGAAACAAAGGTGGAGACGAAAATCACCACCACAACCCGAATCCAAACTCAGATCATGCTTCGAATCACAACGAGTTTTTGAGCTTGGATTGCCACCCGGATAGTAGTGCAAGGAAGAACATGGAGAACAAGTACAAGAGGAGCTTTACTTTGCCTGCAAGAATGGCTTCATCATCTTCAAACTCAGTTGATCACCATCAGCACCAATCTGTGGGGTATCGAAATGCCGAAGCTGGTATGTACTCTGATGTTATGGAGACCTTCTTGGAGTGAAATGGGAAGGGAGGATTTTATTAGAGGGACAATGGGTGAGGAGTTGTATGTAAGCAAAGCTTTTGAGCTCCTTTGCTGCTTATTACTTCTGTGATCGATTTCATGTTCTAGCTCTTTATATGTTTATGTGTTTTCATCCCAGTTAGTGAGACTTAATTAGAGATCATTTTGTACTTGTAGTTCATCCCAAGAAGAATTTCCCTCCGTTCTTTTGTTCTTCTAACTCTCACTAAGGTCATGGAATGTAAAATAGAAAATAAACATAGAAGAAAATCAACACAATCATGCCAAGTTGGTTCAAGTAATCACAGCTTATCCAATTCCAGCAGTAATGGGCTTGAAGAAATTCATTATGCCCAAAATGCTCAAGAAAATAAAACTATTTGAATACACAGTTACAAATACACATGGTCACTGGGAGTCTCACATCCATTGTTTAGCTTTATTGCTGGGAGATACAGTCTTGATCACACTTTTTGGAAATCCAATTTTGCTACTGATTCTCTAGCTAGGGTTATCTATAATAAGGAGTTGGGCCTCTACATTCGTACTTGAGTGTAAGGTGGCGTGTTCACTGACCTAGTCAACTGGCCGAACATGTCTAGAAGTAGAGTTGTTGAAGCGTTTATAAAGGCTAAGGAAAACTATCGCTCTATTTAAAATTGGATTTCAATAGAGTCGTTGACAGAGTCTGTTCTTGATCCAATACTTCTGTTGGGTTAGTTATAACTTATAACTGAGGCCATATGCATTTGAAAAAAAAAAAAATAGAACTCTTTGGTATCTACTTTTCCAAATTAACAAGCGATCACGACAAGCCTTGGCTTTTAGATAGAGATTTGGTTGACTGATCACTATTCAGTCAACCAACTAGTTTATGTTTCCAAAGGATTTACGGAAGAATATCATTGCCATATCAACAGCTTGAACTTCAAGATTAAACGCTCGCTCTGAAGAATTTGAAACAATAACCGAACACATTGTGACAAAAGCTCTATTTTAACAAGCCAAATTGCTTTTGCTGGTTAACGTTCCCAGAATATATATATATTTCCTTTTGCTTTTCTTCAAAGTTGAAAGTGATCAAAAGCCAAAGCCAAAGCCAAAGTATAAAGCCAGTTATCTACTTTCAAAGCAAACTTCAAAATCCTAACCTCAAACCCATGAACAAATTACAAAACTTGATAAACAAGTTTAAAAAAATCATTTTTCACTTCACATTTATCAATTCGCAGCTTTAATTAATTACATGATCACTACTTTTGTTGGACGGGTCCATTGCGTGACACTTTCTGCAGGTCCAAACAAGCCACCGGAAAAACCTCCGGCCAAAACTCCGGCGGACCACCACCGTCTTCACCCGGAGTTTTCTCTTCCCTTTGATGGGTTTCTCCTTCCCTTCAAGCTGATCCACTTTCGCCTTCTTCCGAGAATTGTCACGGCTTAAAGAAGCCGGTACAGGCACAGCTGTTATGAATTGCCATCTCTGAGAAGAACCATAAACTTGCCCACCTCCGAGATTATTAGCTCTGTTTCCTTTGTATCTATCTGATGAAACTCTAGAACCCAATTTGTTTTGGTGCACCAATTTCCTCTCAGAGTTGTCGCTTGAGCTTGTCCTTGCGCTGCTGCTCCTGCTGTTGGTGCTATTGCTTCTTGAGGACATGAGAGAGTCCTTGCTGCTAATGCTGCTCGTCCGGCTTGTTCTCCGTGAATTACTATCGACACCCATAAAACCGTTGCTAATTGGTTGAAATGGGAAGGCATGTGGTAAGAGCCTGCCATTGAAGAACAAATGGTCTGCAGGGGAGTCTTTGCAGGGATCAGTGCTGGAGGCTGAGTCAGGGGTAAAGCATCCAAATTCAAAATCGGAGTCTTGCTCGTGGATCGGAGTGCTTGGAAAGGAGAATGTGTCGCCGGAGGTGCTCTTTTGCCGGCGGTTTTCCATGGATGGTTTTTTTAGGGAGAGAGAGGAGGTTGGTGTATTTGCATGGGGCAGGTTGTATATTTATAAGAAGGTTTAATTAGGGGTAGAAAAAAGTGAGGGAAATTCAGGTTTCTTTTGATATGGGTGTGACACGTGGAATGATCTTGACCCTCTGTTGGTGAGATGGGCAAAGGTTTTGGTGGTGTGAATGATGAAGTTCTATTCCCAACTCAGTATTAAATTCAATACTTTTGGTGGTGTTACGCCTCGACACTGTCCCAATTGTTTGATCATTTTGGAGAGTTTGTTTGTTTATTTATTTTTAATTCAGTAAAGTTGTGTTCTATAGAAACACATTGTTGATTACATTGGGAGAAAGGATTGTGTGGCTTTTAATTTGTATGTTTTTTCTGAAGTTGAGTTTCTACGTCTAAGATTGTTAAGGTTGAGTATTAATTTGAAACAACTCCTAAAGATGGAGTACTAGAGAGAATTTTATAAAAATGTCATACACAAAAATGTCCAGAAGAATTCATCAATTCATTAGTTTATCTTATCTTCTTTTCCTTAAGTGATACGTACATACTATATGTATCATCTCAACTTGTCAATTACTTTTCCATATGACGTATATTTCTCGCATTTGTTCAATCGAAATGGTACAAATAATTTCATTCTACTTTCTTTTGTTAGACTCGGGAGTTTTCATATAATTTCTTTCAATACCATCTTTTGTTATTTATTTATAAAAACAAAATAGGTTTCAATTCTAAATGGGATTGCCATGGGTACTGGGGTTGGTATTTCAGTACACGGAAAATTCCGTGTAGCAACAGAGAATTCAATCTTTGCAACACCATAAAATGGTCTAGGATTTTTTCGTAATGTGGGTGCTTCCTATTTCTTGTCAAGACTTCTTGGATTTTTTGGAGAGTATTTGGGTCTCACAGGTAGGGGTGGGCATTGGGACTGGAAAACCGGAACACTGAACCAAACCGGTGAAAAAAAAATCAGTTGACCAAAAAAGTCAACAAAATGGACCTAACCGGATCAAATCGGTTCCAATCGGATCGAATCGGTTCCAACCGGTTTTGGTTTTACACCGCACAAGACCGAACCAAACCGGTCATATTTTTTTATTTTTACAAATATTTAAAATCTAATGCCATATTTTAAATTTTATAATCACTATTTTTCCAAGTTCAACTTCAAAAAATTTCTAAATTTCTAAATGTATGAATTGGATTATTTGTTAATTTTTAAGCCAAAAAAAAAAGTTATTTATTATAAATTTTTTTTAAAAATAAATTAATAATCCGATTCAAAATCGGAACCGGTCAGAATTGAACCGGCCGGTTTTTCAATTTTTTTTGCCTAAACTGGACCAAATCGGACCAGTTAAATAGTACCGATTTCGATTCCAGTTTGAGGTGAGAATCGGACCGCACCCACCCCTACTCATAGGTGCCAGGTTGGATGGTGCTGAAATGCTTGCTTGTGGTCTAGCAACTCACTTTGTTCCCTTAGCCAAATTGCCTCTACTGGAAAAAGCACTAATTTCCAGAGCAGCTTCAACTACATCAAGCTGTGATCTTGCTTTTATTTCAGCAATTATAGACGAATACTCCTTGCAGCAACCAACTCTGAACGAGAAAAGTGCTTTACACAAAATGGATGTCATTGACAAGTGCTTTTCTAGACCAACAGTTGAAGATATCTTAAGTGCCCTTGAGAAGGAGGTTACTACAAGAGATGCAAACAGGGCAGGTGATGAATGGCTAGCTTCAACGATTCAATCGCTGAAGAAGGCATTGCCGATGAGCTTGAAGATTTGTTTGAGATCCAATAGAGAAGGAAGGGTGCAGGCAATGGATGAATGTCTTGTCCGCGAGTACAGAATAGCTTGTCATGTTATGAGAGGGCAAATAAGCAAGGACTTCAGAGAAGGTTGCAGAGCTATCTTGTGGGACAAGGACCAGAAACCAAAGTGGAAGCCTTCTAGTTTGGATCTCATGACTGAGCATATGGTTGACCAATGCTTCTCTAGGTTGGATGGTGATGAAGAATTAAAGCTCCCTCAAAGATCCAACTTGCCTGTATTTGCCAATGCCAAGCTTTGAGCTAATTGTGATTTTGGGGTGTTTCTCTAACCTATACCTATCAATATTTCAATTCCCTCCCTCGTATTATTCAAAATTTTCATTAGTGTACACACCCCATCATTTTCTCACCCCACCCCAACTCTCTCATTCGAATATGCATGTACAACCAACTTGCCAAATAAACCATACGTATATAATCTGTTATATACATATCTTGTTTTCACTACCCCTCTCCCCCTCTGACTGAGCAATCCAGCATCGTTTTGTTAACGAGGGCTGCCTTCTTCTCCGGTTCACCTCCCCTGAGGGATAAGGGAGCCTACAAAATACTATAGAGTCCGCCTATCCGCTTTTCAGGGTATGGAGCCACCATCGCGTCAGTATAGCGTATCGAGTGGAAAAGGCTGATAGGGGTCACCACTCCCCGTCCTATTTCCAATGCGAAGTCAAAATACATATCTTGTTTGTTAGTTCGGCTTATATATAGGTACATATACAATTGTATATGTTTATTTCATTCCGTTACATAACATGGCTATGTTGAGAGTATCCTACATTGTCAGATGAATATGAGGCGGTCTATGTGTGAGGGGGTGTGTTGAGAGGTTCAATCTTGCCGTTCAATAATAACTCTGTATAATTAAGGATCCCTCATTATAACCCTTCACTCAGTTTCAATATTGCTTACAATTTTAGACCTCTTCACCTATTGCCAATTGGTTGTTGCTTGGGGAATCTGCCCAGTATTTTTGTTAAAAAATTTGGTAGGTGTCCAAAGACAGATATTCGGAGACTTGAGAAGAAACACATATTGGAGCTTGTATTGTTTCGGCCCAACGAAATATGGGTTCTGAAAATGAAAAGCTAGGTAGGGTTGAACTTCAGAAGAAAACTGACTGGTCCAAATTTGTAGGCTTTGGGTTTGGGTGACCCAAGCTGATTTTGGCCGCACCAGTTTCTCAAGTAAACGATTAAAATAAAAACAAAACCAAACGATGTTTCTTCTTTTTCCTATGCATGACTGACGACTTTACTTCCCAACCGCCGGAGCTTAGAGACAAGCTCACAATGTCTACTTTTGAGCCTTCTGATAGTGTCAATGTGTCATGGCAATGCTCATCGATTGTGAAGAAGAACAAGAGGAACAACAGCAAACCGATGGTCGAACTCCAATGCCTAAGCGCCTAGAAATCTTGCCTTCTCACTCTTCGAATAAGAGGGACGAAGGGGAAGAGGGTACAAGGAAGAGGGTTTTCAGTGTGAGCAATTTCAGAGGGGTTCTTTTTCCCTATTTGTATGGAGTTATGGTCGTCCCAAGGCGATCATCAAGTTAGGTTAGAGATAGCATCTTGGGGTTTTCGCAGAAAATTTGTTGGTTTTTGTTTTCATTTTTGTTGAAGTTCCCTTTTGGTTGTTGTTCTTATAATAATGCACTGTCCCAATTGTTTGATCATTTTGGAGAGTTTGTTTGTTTGTTTGTTTATTTATTTTTAATTCAGTAAAGTTGTGTTATATAGAAATAGACTGTTGATTACATTGGGAGATGAGATTGTGTGGCTTTTGATTTTTTCAGTATTAATTTGAAACGACCCCGTAATTTTATGTAGTTAACCTAATATAATATATAGTAGGAAGATGCTGCAAAACAAATTGAATCTCCAATCTCACTCTTCATGTCCTCCACCACCCAAAAGAAAATGACACTCCTCCTATTTTTTAAAATTGCAAAGGAGAGAAGGATAATCATGGTTGAATAAAGGTTTTGATAACAGAAATTAGCCTCTCCGCACGTGCTTCTGTATTTATTTTAGAATTAAAAAATATAATGGGCAGTTGTGTTCCATAAAAATAGGATTTATGATATGATTTTTTTCTTTTAATTTTAATTTTTTTTAAATATGAAAAAGTGTGAATTTACCACATTATCCTCATTTAATTAATAATTTTAATTCTTAATGTTTGGATTAACCAATGACATTTTCTGGTATTTTGAATGTTTCACCGTTCTCTGCATTTTGCTTTATATATATATAGATTAAGAAAAGTTAACCCAAAAAAAAAGTCCCAGCAATATAAAAAAACAATTTATGTGCAGTTTTCCAACAAACTAAACCATTTTGAACTTTTGTTTCAATTGTTCTAAAATGATTCCTATCCTCAAGTAAGCTTCGAATGCCCATAAATAACTCAAATACCATAACAAAGCATTGAATTGTACAGTAATTTCTTAAAAACCCCAAAACAGGAGAAATTCCAGAATCTTCAAAACAACCCTTAAAATTTACCTTAGATTGTTGGGCTCGATCTCATGATCTTGTAGGCGAAAACGGTTCATGAATTTGACAAATAGAGAGAAAGTTATGATTTTTCGAAATTTTTTCAACCAAACTTTGTTTTTGGAAGTTACAAACCCCCACCGGGAGGAAGAAGAAAGAAATTAATGCCGGGTAAATGTAGAATAGGAAAGAGAAAGAACAAAATTAATTAAAAAAAATTTAAAAACAAAAGATAGTGTAAGTGAACAAAAAGAAAGTGGGAAAATCAGCTCCCTAAATTAAATGCGATTTGGAATATATCCTTCAAGTTTCTCCAAGCAATTTGAAATAAGTCATGAGAGGTAGTTTTCGATATTAAGTGAAAATTTTGAAATATATAAAAATGCGCAATTAGATATTTTTTTGGTTGTTGATATAGATGTTGTATTAAACATCATAAGAGTATACATGGAAGAGGATGACAATGTCCAAAAGCTAACGTGAAAGCCAAGAACAAGAGTAGAATCTTAAAAAAATTCGCAGTCTGAACCAATTACTAGGAAACAATAAAAAAGAAAAAAAAACTACTGCCCAAGACGCAATTAGATTTGAAGGCTAAAATAATGATGTTTGAATGGTAGAAAAATACTGTAGACACACAAGTACAAATTCATGGGGGCAAGGCCCAAAAGAAGAACCTAAATAATATAATATATGACCCTATATGCAAGGACGGATCCAGGATTTTAAAATGGGGTGGGCTAAATTTACTTTATGTACGCATTGGATAGTGGAACATAAATGTCCAACTATTGCAGCGTAGCAATTCGTTCTTTTATTTATTTATTTTTTCACTTAAAATGGACTATGTGTGAAGATTAGGAGTAGGTTGTTCGTAAAAAAATAAAATAAATATAAATATAAATATAAATAAGTTGGCAGTAGGCTAAAAAAGTAAGAACAAGGCGGAAATACTTTTCATTTTAGAGAGAACTTTACAAAGATGTCCTACACAAGAATGTCTAGGAATAGTCAAAGAGAATTCATCAATTCATTTGTTTATTTTATCTTCTTTTCCTTAAGTGTAAGTGATGACATGATTGTCATTAGTAAGCTTAGGTGGGCTAAATTAAATTTTTGAATAATAAAATAACAACTCACTTAGGCTATAGCCTAGGTTAGTCCCTTCTTGGGACCGTCCCTGCCTATATGTGGAGGAGGATTAGTCCAATCCCAAGTTCGGCTCTTCATTAGTGGTCCATTGTAAGTATTTTCCTTTCGTAGGAAAAAAGCAAACAAATTACAGTTTGACGTGTGTGTAGAACATCTCAATCTTAAGTTCAGCTCTTCATTAGTCTCCCCTGGTCCATTATAAACCTTTTCCTTTCGTATGAAGAAAGCAAATAAATTACAGTTTGATGTGTATGTAGAACATCTCAATCTTAAGTTCACCTCTTCATTTTTTACCCCAAAAATAAAAAAATCAGCTCTTCATTAGTCTCCTCTGGTCCATTGTAAGCCTTTTCTTTTTGTAAGAAAAAAGAAAACAAATAGTTCTTTCCTACCAAACCTCGTTTAAATTGTGCTTCAAGTTTAAGCACAATTTAACCACATTATGCTATTTCTTTCTTTTTTTCACGTCTCTTCTCTGCCTATGCTGCTTATTTACGAACGGAACACAAAGAAAGGCAAGTGTGTGAACATTTTTTTTCTGCCAAGGGTCAATTTATGCATTGATGCTGGCCCAGCCTAGTAGTTGTTCCTCCCCCACACACACCACATGGGCTCATACAAAGCAACGTTCACTACAACTTGTTATATTAACAACTAGGTTTTTGTTTACATTTTCATTCATTCAACAACTAGCCTACCTTCTACTTAAAGAAAAGCTATTGCCTTCCAATTCCTTCGCCTAGGTTTCACACTTTAGTTGAAGCTAGCCTATAAAAAGTTGCACCTAGGTAATAAATGTCAAAGGACCTACATCTAAAACTAAAAACGCGTGCACTAAACCCAATAGCAGTTAATCGTTTTGGACCTAGATCTAAGAGCATCTCCAAGGGAGATGTCAAATACCAAACATCAAATTTAAATTTGATGGTTGATGTGGCAATTTGACATTTACTTAGTTTTACACTCCACCTGATATGTCAAATAAATAATTATTGTAACAGTCAAATCATTTAAGATAAAGAAGAAAAAAAGAAAAAAAAAAGAAAAAAAAAATTGAAAGTAACAGCCAGCTATCTTTTAAAAATAATAAATATTTATTTGACATATTGCTTTTGGGATGGCAAAAATAACATCTCAACCTCTAGCCTTCATTCACATTAGCTTTGACACATCGGTTGGAGTGTTGTGAGACGTTATTTCTAGCCGTTAAATGTCTATGTGGCACTTTTGACACATCGGTTAGAGATGCTCTAAGAAGCCCTTATATAAAACCCCACACCTGCTAAACATGTGGTTAAGTTGGGGACAATATCAATGTTGCTAATAGTGGGTCAAGAATCCGTCCCTCTGAAATCTTAACCACTATAAATAAGCTTAGTTTTATTCATTTTTTGGGTACCCAATATATTATAGGGAGTTTCACTAAAACACCCAAAATGGGGGCTGAAATTATAAAAAAATCCAACACCCAAAACACTTTATAAACACACCCAAAACCCATCATTACACACACTCAAAACCCATTTATAAACACACCCAAAAAATATACAATTGTTGATTTTGGGGTTGATTTTGGGTGTGTTTCTATGTTTAAATAGTGCTTGAGTTTTTTTTATAAATACATGTCTAGGATTGAGTTTATTTATAAATTTGTATATATTATATATGCAGAAACTAAAAAGCTAGCCTTTAAATTCCTCCTCCACCGATCATCTTTTCTAACCTAGGTTTCAAACACTCAGAGCACTTCTCGATTTTATTTCTATTACGCTAATTAACCATCCTATGGCTTCTTTCCAACTTGATGACCAGGTTCTAGTACAAGAGACTATGTTCGTGAGAACATTGACCTTGAACAGGCCTCGCCAACTGAACACCCTTTCCCTTGAAATGATCTCTCAACTGTCAAAACTTTTCTTGGCCTATGAGGACGATGCCAATGCCAAGTTGATCATTCTCAAGGGTAGAGGAAGAGTGCAGGCAATTGATAGCAACATACAGTAAACCCCAGGCAAGTATGCGACTAATTTCCATAATGTCTAGCTTTGAAATCTATGTTAAATATTTTTCGAATACTTCCGCAAGTGCTACGTACTATATGTATCATCTCAATTAGTCAATTAGTATTCCATATGATGTATATCCCTCACATCTATTCAGTCAATATGGTACAAATAGTTTCATTGTACTTTATTTTGTTAAACTTGAAGTTTTCATATCTTTTGTTATTTATTTATAAAAACAAAATAGGTTTCAATTCTGAATGAGATTGCCATGGGAGTTGGGGTTGGTATTTCAATACACCGAAACTTCCGTGTAGCAATAGAGAATTCGATCTTTGCAACTCCAAAAAATGGTCTGGGATTTTTTCCTAATGTGGGTGCTTCTTATTTCTTGTCAAGACTTCCTGGATTTTTTGGAGAGAATTTGGGTCTCACAAGTGCCAGGTTGGATGGTGCTGAAATGCTTGCTTGTGGTCTAGCAACTCATTTTGTTCCCTCAACCAAATTGCCTATACTGGAAAAGGCTTTGATTTCCAGAGCAGCTTCAGCTACTTCCTCAAGCTTTGATCTTGCTTTTATTTCAGCAATTATAGATGAACACTCCCTACAGCAACCGGCTCTGAACGAGAAAAGTGTTCTTCACAAAATGGATGTCATTGACAAGTGCTTTTCCAGACCAATAGTTGAAGAAATCTTAAGTGCCCTTGAGAGGGAGGCTGCAGAAGCAAACATGGCACATGATGACCATTGTTGTGAATGGTTAGATTTGACGATTCGTTTATTGAAGAAGGCGTCGCCGATGAGCTTGAAGATTTGTTTGAGATCCATTAGAGAAGGAAGGGTGCAGGCAATTGACGAATGCCTTGTCTGCGAGTACAAAATAAGTAGCTATATACTGCGAGGGCAAATAAGCAAGGACTTCAGAGAAGGTTGCAGAGCTATCGTGTGGGACAAGGATAAGAAACCAAAGAGTAAGCCTTATAGTTTGGAGCTCATCACTGACCATATGGTTGATCACTACTTCTCTAAGTTGGATTGTGATGAAGAATTGAAGTCCCTCAAAGTTCCAACTTGCCTGCATTTGCCAATGCCAAGCTTTGAGCTAAATGTTATTCCAATTTTATTAGCCACACCCTGACAATTTGTTGGTTTTGTTTTCACGTCTGTTGAAGTTTCCTTTTTGTTGTGGAGAGTTTGTTTGTTTGTTTATTTAGTATTAATTCAGTAAAGTTGTGTTCTTTAGAAACGGATTGTTGATTACATTGGGAGAAGGGATTGTGTGGCTTTTAATTTGTATGTTTTTCCTGAGGTTGGGAATTTATGTGCAAAATTTTTAAAGTTTGATACTAATTTAAAATGACCTCCAAAAATTGGGTAGTTTTATTTTATGTATGTTTACACCATAATCAACCGAGTATATCCAGCCTCAAAACGACTAGCACCAAAGCAGACATGTCTTCACTGTTGCCAAAGGAAGACACTCTTCCAAGGTGCCAGACACCCCCCAAAGCTCTCGACTGCCGAAGCTCTCAACTGCCGAACCTAATCTCCAAGACACATGTCACCACCATAGCGACTTGCGCAAAGTCCCACATCAAAACTTTGTGTAAACCTCCCACTTTCACTTCCTTATAAATAGGGAACAATACCCAAGTAAAAAGGGTAACTTCTCTATCACTTTTACTGTTACTCTACCAATTTTACCACCATTAGCTGACTTAAGCATTGGACAGCCTTCGGCCGGCACCACACCGGTGTCTGAAGCTTAACGATTGCTTCTCCTACTTTGTCTTATGCAGGCTTTTCCCTTACCGAAGGTCCCCACCTTCTCCACTGCTGAAGACAACGCCTTTTTCTCTAAGTTGACCTCCCAAAAAGAGCATCAACAATGTAGTTAACCTATTATAATATATAGTAGGAAGATGCTGCAAAACAAATTGAATATCCATACTCATTCTTCATGTCCTCCACCAGAAAAAGAAAATGACACTCCTCCTTTAAATGTGATTTGGAATATATCCTTCCAGTTTCTTCAAGCAATTTGAAATAAGTCATGAGAGGTATTTGATATTTAGGGCATGAAAATTTTAAGGCCCCGTTTGATAACCATTTCAATTTTAGTTTTTAGTTTTCATTTTTTGTGCTAGAGTATGGAGGAAAATGAGAGTGAGAATGAGAGAGGAGGGGAGGGGAGGGACGTGTAATAAAAGTTATAAAAATAAAAATAAAAACTTGAAAGTGAAAACAATTTCAAATAGAATTGAGTTTTTAGTTTTAGTTTTCACTTTTGTTACTCTTCCCTCTCAATCTCATCTTCACACTTATTTTCACTCCCATTCTCCCTCTTTTCTGTCCATACTCTAACACAAAAATTAAAAACTAAAATCTAAAATTAAAATGGTTATCAAACGGAACCTTAAAAGACGTATATTATATTTTAAGGCTAAAATTATGAAGTTTGAATGGTAGAAAAATATTGTAGATACACAAGCACAAATTGTAGATACCAAACCCCGTTTAAATTGTGCTTCAAGTTTAAAGCACAATTTAACCATGTTCTGCTATTTCTTTCTTTTCTTCCCGTCTGTTCTCTGCCTATGCTGCTTATTTACGAATGGAACACAAAGGCAGGCAAGCGTGTGAACAATTTTTTTCTGCCAAGGGCCAATTTATGCATTGATGCTCGCCCAGCCTAGTAGTAGTTCCTCCCCTACCCACACCACATGTACTGTCAATTAATTTTGGGCCGAATTCTTAAATTCTGTCAAAAAAACAGGCAAGTTGTACAAGTTCACATTTTAAATCAGTCAACAATATCTGTACCGTCAATTAATTTTGGGCCGAATTCTCAAATTCTGTCATAATATTTGCATCATTTTAATTGTCAATGTTTTAAAAAAAATCATGCCAAAATGAAACGGTAAAATATTTTTCTGTTGTTTCTATTGTAAGTTGAAATGGTATAAATAGGTTTTTTCGTTTTTGTTTTTGTTTTGGTTCGAAAAAGACAAAAAAGAAAAGACAGAGGCATGCAATATGTAGAAGCTATAAAATAAAAATAAAAAAAGCTAGCCTACCTTCTACTTAAAGAAAAGCTTGCCTTCCAATTCCTCCACCTCTCTATAAAAAGTTGCACCTAGGTTTCAATTAATCATTTTCTATACATCAACTAATCATTTTCCATGGCTTCTTTCCAACTTGATGACCAGGTTCTGATACAGGAGATTTTGTTTGTAAGGATATTGACCCTAAACAGGCCTCGCCAGCTGAACGCCCTTTCCCTTGAAATGCTCTCTCGGCTGTCACAACTTTTCTTGGCCTATGAGGACGATGCCAATGCCAGGTTGATCATTCTCAAGGGTAAAGGAAGAGCATTTTGTGCTGGCGGCGATGTAGCCACCGTTCATCGTTGTTTTCTTGAAGGAAATCTGAAATTTGGTGAAAAAATTGGTGAGAAGCTGCTCACCTTAACCTACTTGGTAGCAACATGCAGCAAACCCCAGGCAAGTCTGAAATTAATTTCCATAATGTCTTCAAAATCTAGGTTTAATATTTTTTTTTTGGATACTTTTGCTGTTATTTGTACCATCTCAACTGGTGAATTAGTATACTGTATGGCGTAAGTCACATATGCCCAATCGAGATGGTACAATTAGTTTTATCGTACTTTCTTTTGTTAGGCTCGAAGTGTTCGTATAATTTCTTTCACTACCATCTTTTGTTATTTATATTTATATTTTTTTAAAACAGGTTTCAATTCTGAATGGGATTGTCATGGGAGGTGGGGTTGGTATTTCAGTAAATGGCAAATTCCGTGTAGCAACAGAGAATTCAATCTTTGCAATGCCAGAAAATTCTCTGGGATTGTTTCCTGACGTGGGCTCCTCTTATTTCTTGTCAAGACTTCCCGGATTTTTTGGAGAGTATTTGGGTCTCACAGGTGCCAGGTTGGATGGTGCTGAAATGCTTGCTTGTGGTCTGGCAACTCACCTTGTCCCCTCAGCCAAATTGTCCCCTTTGGAAAAAGCTCTAATTTCCAGAGCAGCTTCAGCTACTTCATCAAGCTGTGATCTTGCTTTTATTTCAGCAATTGTAGACGAATACTCCTTGCCGCAACCGGCTCTGAACGAGAAAAGTGCTTTACACAAAATGGATGTCATTGACAAGTGCTTTTCCAGACCAACAGTTGAAGATATCCTAAGTGCCCTTGAGAAGGAGGTTACTACAACAGATGCAAACAAGGCAGGTGATGAATGGCTAGCTTCAACGATTCAATCGCTGAAGAAGGCGTCTCCGATGAGCTTGAAGATTTGTTTGAGATCCATTAGAGAAGGAAGGGTGCAGGCAATGGATGAATGCCTTGCCCGCGAGTACAGAATAAGTTGTCATGTTATGAGAGGGCAAATCAGCAAGGACTTCAGAGAAGGTTGCAGAGCTATCTTGTGGGACAAGGACAAGAAACCAAAGTGGAAGCCTTCTAGTTTGGAGCTCATCACTGAGCATATGGTTGACCACTACTTCTCTAGGTTGGATGGTGATGAAGAGTTAAAGCTCCCTCAAAGATGCAACGTGAATGTATTTGCCAATGCCAAGCTTTGAGCTAATTGTGATGTTGGGGTGCTTCTACCTATACCTATAAAATATTTCAATTCCCTCCCTAATATTATTCCAATTTTATTCGTCTACACCCCACACCCCAACATTTTCCCACTCCACACCACACCACACCACCCCAACTTTTCTTTTTTGTGCGTGTGTGTCAAAGTTTAAAAGGAAAATATGTCATTGGGTTCAAACATAAGACCAATAATATGTAAACAAATGTTCTTATCATTGAGCTATGACCAGTTGGCCACCACCCCAACTTTCTCACTGCACTATATGTGCAACCAACTTATCAATTAAATACATATGTAATGTGTTTTATACATATCTTGTTTAATATAAAAAATACACCTCCTCAAAATTCTAACACTTTCAATACCATCTTTTGTTATTTATATATATTTTTAAAACAGGTTTCAATTCTGAATGGGATTGCCATGGGAGGTTGGGTTGGTATTTCAGTACACGGCAAATTCCGTGTAACAACAGAGAATTTGATCTTTGCAATGCCAGAAAATGCTCTGGGATTATTTCCTGATGTAGGTGCCTCTTATTTCTTGTCAAGACTTCCTGGATTTTTTGGAGCGTATTTGGGTTTTACAGGTGCAAGCATGGGCAGAACTACCTAGTCAATTACATTGGGCTATAGCCCAGTAGCTTTTTGGAAAAGAAAGTATTAAACCTATACAGTCCATTGGCTGAGACTATTATCATGTGGCTTCTTGGCAGTTTCTCACGTAAAGAAGATTGCAAGTTTGAAGTCCTACATAAAGAAAGAAAAAAAATCCTAATATCCTAATTGGTCCCACATAATGAAGTATCCTTGATTATAATAAAATATGTCAAAATAAAAAATATACATGTGAAACTCAGCCCTAGCAACGGTCCCAAAAAAATACATGCTGCTTTTTGTATTCTTTGTTATGCTCATAGGTAAAATTCGTTTCCCTAACTCTCCAATTTTAATATTTTCATTGATTTGTCTCCATAAGAGAAAGATTTGTCTCAATGAAATTCATCATTTTATGAATAAGATGAAACGAAAAAGTCACAAAGATATAATTTGATAGATAGGTTGATTAACAACAAGATGGATTCATATGACAATAGCAAAATATTTCAATTCTCTCAAGGATCTCAGGGCACAACTTCTATAGGTACACTTTTAATTATGTTGTTAAACATATATTCATTTTAATAATTTTTTTTTATTGCATCTAATATATATATGTTTTATGTTAATTCTTATTAGAAATCAATGTAGTTATGAATTGCATAATTTATATGATTTAATGTATACTTTTGTTTTCGTCAAAATTTTTAGCTAACTCACCCGTCAAAAAATTCATGGTTCCGCCATTGGGTCCAAGGTTGGATGGTGCTGAAATGCTTGCTTGTGGTCTAGCAACTCACTTTGTTCCCTCAGCCAAATTGCCTCTATTGGAAAAAGCTCTAATTTCGAGAGCAGCTTCAGCCAGCTACTTCATCTAGCTGTGATCTTGCTTCTATCTCAGCAATTATAGACGAATACTCGCTGCAGCAACCGGTTCTGAATGAGAAAAGTGCTTTTCACAAAATGGATGTCATTGACAAGTGCTTTTCCAGACCAACAGTTGAAGATATCCTAAGTGCCCTTGAGAAGGAGGTTACTACAACAGATGCAAACAAGGCAGGTGATGAATGGCTAGCTTCAACGATTCAATTGCTGAAGAAGGCGTCTCCAATGAGCTTGAAGATTTGTTTGAGATCCATTAGAGAAGGAAGGGTGCAGGCAATGGATGAATGCCTTGCCCGTGAGTACAAAATAACTTGTCATGTTATGAGAGGGCAAATCAGCAAGGACTTCAGAGAAGGTTGCAGAGCTATCTTGTGGGACAAGGATAAGAAACCAAAGTGGAAGCCTTCTAGTTTGGAGCTCATCGCGGACCATATGGTTGACCAATGCTTCTCTAGGTTGGATGGTGATGAAGAATTAAAGCTCCCTCAAAGATCCAACTTGCCTGTATTTGCCAATGCCAAGCTTTGAGCTAATTATGATTTCGGGGTGTTTCTATACTCTATACCTATCAATATTTCAATTCCCTCCCTAACGTTATTCCAATTTTAACATTTTCTCATCCCACACCACACCACCCTGACTTTTTTTTTGCTGTCAAAGTTTGAAAGGAGAAAGGGGATAACTAATCCTTAAGCAAATTCGAGCTTTGGACCCGTTGGCCACCACCCCAACTTTCTCGTTAGAATATATATGTGCAACCAACTTATCAAATAAACCATACATATATAATGTGTTTTATACATATCTTAGGCTTGTGTATAGATACATAATTGGATATGTTTATTTCATTCCGTACAAAATAAGATAGTATGAATACGTTGAGAGTATCCGGCATTTGAGAATAAAAGCTTCTACAAACAAGATATATTGAAAATATCCCGCTATAATCCCTTATTACGATATCTCAGTTGCAATATTGCTTAAAAGATTTGTGCTAGCTCCTTCCTCAAGCAGAGTGGGGTCCACGTGCTTGGGCTGGCCCGAAGGCGGAGGGAGCCTGAGCGAGAGCCCGAGTGCGCGGCTGACGTCATCGCTGATGCCAGCGTCCTTACATTTTTCAAGGCAAAAAATTATGAAAAAAAATCGTAAAATTTTTTTAAAAAATCCCAAAAAATACTGACTGTTTTTCTATTAATACCAATACCTACTCTTCAGTTTTAACAACAAATTTTCATACATCTTCTCCTTCTCCAACTATTATTCACTTTCTATTCAATATTTTCTTCACTTTTTACTCTAAATTGTGTTCATTTTCAAGTTTAATTTTTCTCTATCATTATGGCTTTTTCTCAAGAAACCGGAGGGGCATGGAGCATCATGGAAGATGTCTTGTTGTGTGAGTGTTGGGTCCAAATTATTCATGATCCCATATCGGGTAATGAGATGAAATTCAGTCAAATGTGGAAAAAAATTCTTCACGAATTTGTTGAAAGATCGGGTTCCATCCGTACGGAAAGCACATTGTCAAGTCGATGGAAACTTCTCAACAAAGAGTTGGGGAAATGGAGAGATGCCCTCACAAAAGCGATGAATAACCATGCAAGCGGGGAAAATCTCAGCGATGAGGTAAATTATTTGTAATTTTCATTTTATTAATTTTAATGTCCTATTAATTTTAATTTTAATGTTTCTTGCAATTGGTATATTTTGTTAATATTTCTTGTATTTCCATATTTATTTAAATGTTTCTTGCAATTTTTATATTTTGTTATTATTTCTTGTATTTCTAATATTTATTTAAATGGTTGTTGCATTCTCTATATTTTGTTAACAAAGAGTTTGAAATTCAGATGACACGTGGCACAATTTTATAGGGTGAAAATCTTATCCGAAATTTGAAATTCGGATGAAATTTATCTGAAATTTGAAATTCAGATGAAATTTATATGAATTTGAAAATTTGAAACCGAAAATCTTATTTGAAAATCTTATCCGAATATTTTATCAGAAAATCTCATCCGAAAATATTGTCCAAATTAATTGTTTAGGTAAACAAATTTGTGAAAAAAACAAAATATTGAATAGTAGCCCCCCTTGCCATGGCAATTGCTGGAAGTGCAACTTACTTTTTGCAAGGGCAGACACTATTCCCGTGAATAGTGTCAGGCCTAACCCCCCCCTTGCCATGACAACATTCTCATTGCTGGAAGTGCTCTTAGAATGAGTCAAGTATTTTTGTTAAAAAATTTGGTCGGTGTCCAAAGACGATCTTCGGAGACCGGAAATGCTATAATGAGGGCTTAAAGTGAGGAGGTTATTTGAGGAGGTCAAATCTCACCATCAACAAATGTAAAGAAATCATGAGACTTAAATATTTTAAATGTTTTGACGGTCGGATCGGTCTCCTCACTTTAACTCCTCACTTTAACTCCTCATTGTAGAAGCTCCCCTTCGGAGACTCAAGAAGAAACACATATTTGGGCTCGTATTGTGAAATTTGGGCTTTGAAAATGAAGCCTAGTAGGGTTGAACTTCAGAAGAAAACTGACTGGGCCAGAATTTTATGCTTTGGGTTTGGGTGACCCAAGCAGATTTTGGCGGCACCACTTTCTCAATCTCAAGTAAACGATTAAAAAAACAAAACGAAGCAAAACAAAACAAAACGCTGTTTCTTCTTTTTCCTTTGCATGACTGACGACTTTACTTCCCAAACGCCAGAGCTTAGAGAGAGACGAGCTCACAATGTCTACTTCTGAGCCTTCTGATAGTGTCGTGGCAATGCTTATCGATGGTGAAGAAGAACAAGAAGAACAACAGCAAACCGATGGTCGAACTCCAATGCCTGAGGGCCAAGAAATCCTGCCTTCTCAGTCTTCGAATAAGAGGGACGAAGGGGAAGAAGGTACAAGGAAGAGGGTTTTCAGTGTGAGCAATTCGGAGGGGTTCTTTTGCCCTATTTGTATGGAGTCGTGGTCGTCCCAAGGCGATCATCAAGTCAGGTTAGAGATACCATTTTTTGGGTTCCGTGGAAAAGTTTTGATTTTCATTGAAAATTTGCTGGTTTTTGTTTTCACGTCTGTTGAACTTTTCTTTTTGTTGTTCTTATAATAGTACAATCTCCCAATTGTTTGATGATTTTGGAAGTTTGTTCTCTTTTTTTAATCAGTAAAGTTGTGTTCTTTAGAAACGGATTGTTGATTACATTGGGAGAAGCGATTATGTTACTTTTAATGTCATTGTAAATTTTATGGTTTTCTTGTAGAAGCTGTTTTCATCCAATAATTGGTAGAACTGTGCCTCCTTTAGAGAAAATTTGCTCTTTCATTCTAATAGTTTACTTGAAACCTGCAAATAAGATCATTCTAAAACTTAAGAATCAATGGAGGAGATTCAGAAATATGCAAGGAAAAAGAAAATACTGCAACCCGAAAATTTGAAAAATTATCACCTTGCCAGGGTCACCCACCCTAAGTCTTTTTCTCAAATTAACCTATAAACCCAAGACCATCTCAGAAGCAGAGAGGAACTCAATTTGGGAATCCTAACGGTTCTTTTCTCACCATTCTTATTCCAGCAGGTGTTTCTACGTATCATATGTTTTGCAAATCACATTAACTAAGCTCATTCTCTATGTCATTTGGCTTTTATTCTGATACATTAGTTGACATTCCGCTTGTGATTTTAAATATGGTTAATGCTCATTTTCTTGTGGAATGTTGCCTCTCCTATTGTATATTTTGCTCAATTATGGGAGTTGTATGGCTGTGGTTTGCAGCTGTCTTCCTTGTGGTCATGTATATGGCATGTCTTGCATTAGTAAATGGATTCAGCAGTGTGGTGGAACGTCTGCAAAGGTTCTTTCTGCTCCCTTTTTTTTATTTATCATTTGTCTACATTCATTTCACCCATAATTTTCTTTTGTAGTGTCCACAATGCAATACAAAGTACAAGTTGAAGGACATAATAAAGCTTTATGCATCACCAGTAGTTGTGCTTGATGAAAGTCTACAAAAGGTGATAATCATGTATTATCTCATGTTAACAAGTTTCAAATATTAATGATGGATGTTGTTTTGAATAAGAACTCTACCACTGCAGAAAGTGAAATCACTTGACGCTGAAGTCGTCTCTCTCAAGACTGAAGTAAGACTACCAATTTTCAGATTAGCAAGCTGCATATTGTTTGGTTTCTTAGTTGCAATAACAGTTAAAATTTGGTTGTATTTTTCTATCTAGTTCTTATCACTCATTTATTATTGTTCTTGCACATGATCTATCATTCTCTGTCTTTATGGTCAGGCTTTTGGTTACGTATATGGCCCTCGGCCTTGTTATAATGCAGAAGAAAGGGTTGAGCATCTATATGTTTAATGAAAAGGGAAATATGAAATATCTCCCCAAAATTTTGACTGGAGTTCCAATGTCTCCCTAAACTTTGAAATTGATCAATGTTCCCTTCAACTTTAAAAAAGAAGATCAGTACATCTATTAAACCACTCTCTCTCTCTCTCTCTCTCTCTCTCTCTCTCTCTCTCATTACTTTTTCTCTTCTTATTGTAACTTCCATCGCATTGCATGCATGCTGCTTCCAGTTATAGGGTAATGTTCTCTTTCCAGTCTAATGTTGCCAAAATGTGAATATGGACTGTAATTCAGGCAAGAATTAACCTAATCAATGTTTCATATTGACAATCTGACAACATAAGCATCTTAAGATCTGCCTCTAGTCATAATTTTATTGTTATAGTTTCTACTAGTGCATCATTATATTTATCAACTTGCAAAATTTATGGTCTCTTACCAGGACAGCCACTAAAGAGCAAGTTCTGCTAAAGTCATTCATAACCAAAACCACAAAACATGCTGTAAAATTTAAAGTCCTTTTATTGTTAAAGTACCTATTATTCAACAAGGTCTTAACAGCCATTTCAATCCCATCACCAAGAACCTTAGAAGTGGCAGAGCCAGTAGTCTAAGTTGGGGCAGGTTGGGTCTTTAGGGGGCAGGCAGGGCCTTGTAGAGGGTTTGGATATGAGGGTTGAGATAGGCTGAAAAATTTTCTTATGAGTTTTTTCCTAGCAGCCTGGGCTATAGGCCGGCCTAGCCGACAAATACTAACCCCTGAACCCTAGGGTGCACAATCCCATAATCGCCACCATAAATCACATTCTTTTATAAAGCCCACTACAAAGAGAAATTTTAGGCTGCTAGTTTAGTTCCTTAGAGCGTCAGCTTCATGCAAAAATGTTAAAGATTGAGACTACAGCTGGTTCTTCCCTCTCAGGTCAGCACTTTAATGGGGTCAATGTTTGTGATGATCCTAACTTTTTGATCCTCTGACCAGTAATGGACAACCGAATTTTCTTTGCACCTTTTTAAAGTTTGCACGTGTGTAACACATGGGCACACGTGCCCTCACCCTTTTTTCTCCTCTGATTGCTACATGTGCATGAGTGAGTATATTAATCCTTATCATAATATTGTTGTGATGTTTGAAAATCAAGTATTATATAACATTGGTGTCTGTTTTCCTAGGTTTGGTTTGTCATTCATATCAGCTTGAGAATGCTTTGATGCCGTTTCCTATCATGTGCAGAGAGCTTCTTTACTTGATATACAAGATGATTTGTTCAGTGTACAACAAAATTTAATCAAGGAATTATCCAACCTCAGGGAGGTATATTTTGTTCATATTGTTATTTCTTAAACTAAATTTTCCTTGGAGAGATATATCATCTTAATTTCCTCTTCCTTATGGTGTTGGGCATTCATTCTCTGTGATCAGTTAAGTTACGGAGGACACTAATGTATCCTTTTGAGTTTAACAACAAAGTTTTTGGTGTGTTTAACAGTTTTAAATTAAGCATTTACTATTCTGTTCATTTTATCTGAGTTTGCTGTTCAGATAGCCTAAATCCCTCCTTTGCTCACTGCTTTTGCACTTATGACCCCATTTTGGTTTTGTAGAAGCCTTGCTGTGGAGATGATGCACCTTTAGGAGAGACAGGGATGGAGCCCTTTAGTTTTACGTCTGCTAAGGGTAATCAGGGACAGGGAGCGCAATGGGGTAATATTTCTCTTTGAGAACTTTACCTTGCAAATTTCTGTTCAGTTGGTTGGTTGTTTCTAATAGACTTAAATAGCGCCTTCTTGTCTTTTTGGTCCCAAGATTGCGCATACTACAGCTAGCGCCTGTTTTGTGATCCTAAGAGGTTATATATAGTACACATAGTGTAAATCATCTTTCAGATTCCCAATACAATGGTATCCAAGTATTACACAGGGTAGAAGGCTAAGGGAAAGCAGATTATCATTCTTTTAAGTATTTCAAATCGTTATGCATGTGCATCACCTTAGTACAATCATGTTTTTATTTTGCCCTTCATAATTTGAATTTCTGCACCTCTTTATTTATTTTCAAATGATTTTTGGTGTCTAAAAATCTTTCTTGCATTGTGAGCCACCTCATCATGGTCCAACATGGCACAAACATTGATTGTTTCTCATTTAAAGTATGTGCATGATGATTTAGTGGATTTTTTTAATAGGTGTTGTGTCATAATGCAGATCACTACTTTGCTCATAATTTTGGCAGACTGGGAATTCTTCACTGGAAATTTGAATTACAGGTGCATCTATTCTTATTCTTTCTCCAACTTTATTACATTTCAATTTGATCTAGTTTGATATCTTAAGCTTGTGATCCATGACATTTGTTTAATCGCAATAGATTTAACATTGACAGCATGAGTTGGCAGTAGATGGTGCAAGGCTTTTTGATATGGATGCTTCTTATCAAATTTTGGTCCTTGCTCGAAGGATATCGGGAATGGGTGGCACACACATGCTGAAGAAAGTAATGTTCTTTTTGAGCCCCAGAAAAAATAGAGGAAAAAAATAGCTTGCACCATCATATACATGTCTTTGAGTTTATTACTTTTCCAGACCTTGCATGCATAATCGGTTTAAGATTTCTGTTGCCACAGGTCAACTTGATCAATCCTTTAGAAAATGAAGATATACAGCTTCCTCCAGGTACAAAAGCCATTAAGGACCTACGTGTATCCCCATGTGGTAGACTCACCCTTTTAGCTTCATTGGGAAAGAAATTATCAATTCTTAGGTTCGCCTATTTTATCCTTTTGGCCAATGTGATTCTTTAAGTGCAATTTGTTGTTGGAATTTACTTGTTTCCTTTTTGTTTCAGCATGGGAAGCAACAATTTTGTCATGAATTATGACTTACCGGTACAATGTTTCCTTTATTCTCTATATTGCAAGTCTAGAGAAGAAATGTTGTTGTTTTTCTGCTAGTGTGTGACGTGTGTGTGTCCAGACTTCCTTAACTGCAGCACATCCAATTTTTTTTGTTTTTAAAATTTTGGAATAAGTGGTGTCTGTGATCGAATCAGTGTCCCCATGGCAGATTACAGGGATCTAACAGAAGATTGGATCCCTGAAGTGGGACTTCTAAAAGTTCATAGTCATGTGGTATTATTATTGCTTTCGTATATTGTATTATAATATTTTATACTTGCCGTACTTCATGGTTCCAAGTTATGGAGCCACATTAATTAATTTTATATGGACTATTTGTTGTACTACCATTACCATTTGTTTTTCTATTTTGTCTACTATTTTCTGAATAAACATGGTATATCCAGGGCCAAGCATGGTCGTGCTCATGGGATCTCAACAGTCCACATCATATATATGCTGGTTTACAGGTTTTGATCCTTAACTTTTAGTTATATGCTTATAATCATTGGGTCTGTTTGTGAAGTGGGTTATACATACATGATATGATACTGCATAGTGTCATTTTAAATATTGTAGTAGCAGATCCATATCTGTTCACCCCTTTCTGTGTCCATTTTTGGTTGAGATGATGATTTTGGCCTTCAATGTGTTATTCATTTTAACTATTCAGTATCATGCTATTATAATTTGATAAATATTAGCTTATTGTTGGAATGCTGATCATCTCATTCATAATTTGGCAGAATGGTATGCTTTTAATGTTTGATATGCGTCATAGCCAGACTCCTCTGCACTCTTTTGTTGGGCTGACCCCCCGGCCAATTCATACTATACACTCCCTTCGGCAAAACCGTGCTTTCAGTCACAGAACTCAGAAATTGCTTACTGCTTCTTGCAGTGGCCCTTGCATGTGGAACATTGGTAGTCCTAGTGAAAGGTTAGTCTTATGAACTTGTTATGATTAGTCCATTTGGTTATAATATGTTGTGTCAGCTCTTCTAAAAAGGCTAACTTCTCACTGTTAAAAAGTTGAAAGTTGAAAAAGCTAAAATAGAATATCAAAATGCTCCATATATGGTAGCATGTTCACTTTCTAGTAATAGAAACAGCAATGCTTAAAGAGCATGTTATGAACTGGTTGACATTCTAACTAACTTGTATCTAAACATCTCTTGAAGGCCCTTTCCGGTCCCTGGATCAGAGGATCAAGGTGCTTGTGTATCAGTTGCTTACAGTCCCTCAACTGATGACATTGTTGCTTCATATCGTCCTAAAACCGAGACATCCAGTGAGACTGGGGGCTCTCAAGTTCTTATCAAGAGGGTAGCTGGTTGCTTTTATCATAAGATTGGATCTGTGCCAGTTCATTTAAGTGACTTTCATCTGACAAAGTCTGCCATGGTAGACATACCGAACTGCTACCCATTGTTTGCGTATGGTGACGAAGTGACCCATGGACTGAAGCTGCGGGAATTGCCAAGTCTAAAAATGAGCCAGAATTTTGAACCCCATCAACATCCTATCCTTGATGTAAAGTATGCACGTTCTCAGGGAAAAGGTTTACTTGGTTGCGTGAGTGAAGACAAGTTGCAACTTTTCTCAGGAGAGGTCTGATAGAGGTGCATTTTTATTGTAAATAGTGGTGCTAAAATATTTTCCGAAATCGAGAGGCAAAAAAATCTTCCAGCAAAAAGAAAGAGATCCGCAAATGCAAGGATTCACCCATCACAGTCCTTCAGTAGTTCACTACCAAGCATCATCTGAGCTTAAGATTTACCAGCCAGCAGTGGTTCTCATAATCATAAGCAAAGATGTATCGTCCATGTGGAAATTTGAGGAGGCCAATAAGAGTTAAGCTCTAAGTTAAACGTCCCGTTTTTTTGGGGCCCGCAACTGGTAGTGATATGCTCCTCTGGTGATGGCTTTTGGTCTGGTGATATGTTATGTTCTACAGCAGATTTCCCAAGTAGAAATCCACAGCTTCACATTCATGAAAATATTAACAAAATGAAATAACTCGTTTGTTTTGTAAATGAAATAACTCTTTTGTTCCTCATGAAAGCTTCCACTACACCAAACTTGTCGAGCTCACCATCAAGAAAAAGAAAACTTGTGGTGTTGAGATAAACAAAATTAAGAATACGAATAGAAGCACGTGCACCAAAAAAATGAAAACTCGAAGCAAATATAAATTTTTTTTTTTTTTTTTTTTTTTTTTTTTTTTTTTTTGTTTTGGGGTGGTGGGTTTATTTATCTATTTAACTTTAAACAATGTTATGCATTCAGAAGAAGTGGTGGTGACTTTTTTTAAAAAGTGAATTTTATATAATATATATATATATATATATATATATATAAAGCAAAAGGCAAAGAATGGTAAAACATTCAAAATACCATAAAATACATTTGGTTAATGTAAACATTAAGAATTGAAATTATTAATTAAATAAGGATAATATGGTAAATTCATACCTTTTCATATTAAAAAAATTAAAATTAAAAGAAAAATCAGATAATGGATTATATTTTTATGGAACACGACTACCAATTATCTTTTTTAATTCTAAAATAAATTTTAAATTTTTTAAAAAAAAGCCCCTCGCATGTGTGGAAGCGCATGCGAAATGGCTAGTTATTGTAAAGTTTGAGAAGAAGTGACCAATTTTTCTTATAATAAAATAAAATAAAAAGTGATGACTTTTGACTAAAGAATTAGTAAAAGTCCAATTTTTGTGGTGAGTGTGAAGAAAAAGTACTCAACTATTTAAGTGGGCGTCTAAAAAAGTGATATTTTCTTTTTCTTTTTAGGAAAAAAAAAAAGAGAGAGAAAAAGAGAAACTTTTCTTCAAAATTAAATTTCGTGTTGGAGTTGGAGGTGGAGGTGGCTGGAAGACATTGTCTCTTGACTTCAAAATTCAATTTGTGGAGAAACTTTTTATTCCAATCCGAATCACATCCACGTCGGCAACAGAGAGTCACTGAAAACCACTGCGCGAAGCCAACAAAACCATTAAACCAGAAAAACAAAAGAAAACGTTTCTAACTCTTCTTATTGCATTGTTGCTCACCCAAACCAAACCCACATATCTTTCATTAGCCAAATTCACACTCTTTCTCTCTCCCTCTCAATCTTTGTAATCTGTGAACGCTTCCCGTGAAACGTAGGCAACAAGGTACTTGTCTAGCATTAAATTCATCTCTGTTTTTCCTTTTTCTTATGAGTTTCCGGCTTTGGTATGAAGTGTGCTCATAGATCTCAAATGGGGTTGTTTTGTTTTTGGCTTTTATGGAAGAAATGCATTGGAAATGTTTGAAAATCTTGTGGGTTTTCCATTTCTGTGAACTTCTCCTTTTTCTCCGGATCTATCTTTTCTGATATGGTTATCTTCTACGTAGTGTTTCATTTTAATCTTTGAAAATTGCCTTAAAGATATGGTCTTTTAGTTATTTTCATTGTACAGCAACAAAAAGGAAATAAATGTGAAGTAGATTAGTTAGTTTGGAGGTGAAGAAAATGGAATAAAGGTTAATACCTAAAGATTAAGTTCCTTTGGTTCTGGGTTCATTATTGAATTATCTATGTTCTGGGTTTGCAAAGAATGATTTATATTTTTGCTTGAAGAATTGAAATGTAAATTCTGTATCGTTATCATGACTTGTGTTCTTGTTGCAAGGGTCATTCTTTCAATTGGGTTTCTGTCAAATTAGGTCACGGTTCTTACGGTAGCCTCTTTGTTTTGTTATCAAAGAATCATCTTTTAAGCTCGGCTTCTGGGTAAATGATGAAAGGCATGAAAACAATGCTCACTCTTTGCAATCAACATGGATAGTAAAATATGCAGAATTGAATTTGCAGGCCCTATTCTTGGAATAAAGCTTGAGGAAAGTAATTTTTGGATATTTCAACATGGATGCATTTGACTTTATAATTAAATCAATTATATGCAATAGTGGAGCTTATGAAGTTAGTAATTTGCCTATAGGTAGTTATTTATGTTTAACAACAGGTGCTACATGATACTTTCTTCATTTATCTTTCGTTTCTCTGTTTGTCACCTGGTGGAGCTTCCATATTGCTAAGCAGTAATTGCTTCATAAAATTTTGCTTTTATTTCAGGTAACACTGGAAGGTGCTTCTCAAAAGAAACAGTTCTCAACAATCTTAGTGTTGTCACAGAAAGGAATGGTCACTCAACTTGGAGAAAATGGAGGTGAATACTGGAAATTCCTGTTACAATGAAAAGCAATCTTTAGTTCATTCCAAATCTACCAATGAAGAAAAAAGGCCTGCAGAAAAAGAATCGAGCACTCCTGTATTTGTTAATTATGGTAAGTTCTTTAGATAATATTTGCTCTGATGATTATGTAAGTCCCCATTGTCATTTCCTAACAACCCAAAAAACAAAAGTTGATTTGTTTTTGTCATGAAGTAATTGGTATCAATCATTTTGTTCTTTGGAGAGATAATCAAGCTAATTTACCTCGTAGCTGCAATTGCTTGGCATGAGAGTAGAAAAAAGTGGGTTGGTGATCAGCGGATGCAAAGAATGGCAAAGGATCCAATCATAAGGTAATTCTTCTTCAAAAAGCATCATGGATAGAATGGAGTTAGTTGTTGTTATAGTCACAATTAAAGAATTTATATCATGGATGTTAGTAAACTAGAAACCTCTATCTCAGTTCTTGAATTTTAGTTTGCAGGTTTGCCAAAAAGGTGCTTCTTTTCTGTTTTGGAATGTTATATACTAATATATATGTGTGCGTGTGTGCGTGTGTGCGTGTGTTCAAATACTTTCCACCTTCAAATTTAAACACCGACATAAACCTAAGAAGTTCCTGCAACATTAGAATGGTGTTGATGGCAATAACTTACATACCTCCGTCATGATTATTGATGATAATCTGTGGCTTTGCCCAATTATTTCATTTGAATTATAGCTACTGAAAGAATTTCTGGAAGATGATGCAAAATTTTATGTTGCAGCTGGTCAACAGCATATGAAGATCTGCTTTCGACGCATGACTCTTTTCCTGAGCCAATCCCCTTAACTGTAAGTTTTTTTGTTTGTTTCCCAAGATGATTCAATGTGTTTCATTTGTAGAATCAGATTTTGCGATATCTTGTAATGACGTTTTCTTAGTATTGTGAACTTAAGTGACTGGTGTACTGTGCAGGAAATGGTAGACTTTTTAGTTGATATATGGCATGATGAAGGCCTCTTCGATTAGACAGTGTGGAGACAGATTAAAGTTGAAGAAGTCATGAAAACCCTTACAGTCCCTAAATATAATCTAATTTCATGTAGATGATCTGATACATGAGGTGGGAAAGCATTGCTAGGATCAAAAGGAAAATCCTTTTTCATCTTCTTAATTCTTTACATTGTAAAATCTAGATATTGTACAACATTACCTCTTCAATTGTTGGGGAAAAAAACTAATGTAATCCCACTCAGTTCTAATTCTGAACCATGACTATGAATAATTTAAAGGAGAAATTAGTTGTATTTGTTGCTTCTTTGCCATCAGAGGTCCAACTTCTGAGGATCATGTGTTTCAATCTTTCTACCTATTACCACAATTACCAATCCAATTATTACAATTTACAAAGTTACCATTGAACATTTAAGATTTACGCTTCATCGTAGTGTATCAACAAACAGATTTGAGGATTTAAACTTCTGATACATAGAAGAACTCGAGTCTCGGCTAAGTGATACTTCTCTTTTCAATGTTAAAACATGTCCTAAATTCGATTCGTCACTTCTTCTCCCGTTCATTTAAAAATAAAAAATATATATATATAAATAATAATTAAAAAAGAGTTTTTCTATTTAAACCCCACAATTTCTTTGTTCATTCCAATACTTTAATTATTAAACTCTTAAGTTTTATTATTGTGTAAAAAGACAAAAAAGTCATTCAACTTAATACTTAACCTCAGTATATCTATGCTCATATTCAGAAGCTTTGATCTCCTTTTCTTCAGGAAGCAATATAGAAGATGGTATTTGAAGTTGCTCTTTTGATATCCTTTCATGGACTATCTAATAAGCAATGATCTTATCTTTGGAAACTACGTCAGTGCTTTGAGAATCAACTTTAGACACTGTTTCAAAGGTTTCTTTGATTTCTTCTTTAGTTTCACGAACATTCAACTCTTCTGGAGCCAATTCATAAACTTTGAGCTCCCTGGGCTCTTCCTTGTGCAAGATTGTCTCTTCTACCGACCTCGCAACAAATAAATCTCCCCCATTTTCATTGACTGTCCTTTTTGTTTTCTTGGCAACAATGTTTTTATCTCTTTAATTTTCTGTTGGGTGTGTATTTATTGGTAGTTTGGGAAGATAGTTGGGTTTTCTTAGAAATTGTGAAAATTTGAATTAGAAGTTGAGATGAACTTAGAATATGGGGTGAACAAAGAGAAATAGAAAAACTTTTAAAAAAACCCCTACCCTTTCGTCTTTTGTTTTTAAAAGAAAATTTAAATTGATGAGACCTTGAAAACAGGAAAAGGAAAGCGCGGCGAAGGACAGTTGGTGGTTCTAGTTGCCATTTGTTTTTCACACTTTATAGAAGAAGGTAAACGCGGAAAGGAAAAGTCTCAGTGGAGGGAAAGGAGAAAATAGAAGCACACGCTTGGATTGGATCTTAAATCACAAGCGAGAGAGCATTATTGCTGTTCAGTATTCTTCGTTTTCCTGAGAATTAGAAAGAGAGAAAACGAAGGGAACAAAATTAACGAACTAAAAAAGATGAACAAAGTCAAGAGCTTGTTAAAACCGAAACCCAACCCATCAGAGCAGCTGAGAGATTGGCAGAGACGACTTCGCCAAGAGTGCCGCAACCTCGAGCGCCAAATCAGAGGCAATGCTCTCTCAATCTCTATTAAAGTTTCCTTCTTTTGCAAATTACATATGTTTTTTGTTCTGGGTCAATTTCAGTTGGTTTGGATTTGCTTTCCTTCGTTTTTTTTTCAATGGTTTTAATTTATGGGTTTGTCTGTTTTTTTTTGGTTTGGTGATTAATTTAGTCTAAAAAGAGATGCTTTTGTTTCTCAGATATTCAGAAAGAAGAGAAAGCTGTGCATAAATCCATTAGAGAGGCTGCCAAGAGAAATGACATGGGCACAGCCAAGGTACTGTAAATTTTGATGTTAATCTCTCCTCAATCATCAATTAGTTTGCTAGCAAGTTAGAAACTGGTTGCACAAAAGCATTATTTTCAAAATGTGAACTTGAAGGGAAAGCTTTGCATGTTAGTTTATGAAGGTTCCAAAGTCCAATTGTTCACTAATGTCGGGGTTATGCCCATTGGAATCATTTTCTGCTTTATGGTTTTGGGCCATTTGATGTCTTTGTTCAGTATAATCAGAACCTGTTTTTGTATTCATAGGCTTTTTAAACGTAGAATGCTAGTAATGTGCTCCTTAATCCTTGTGATGGATGTCTACTTGTGTTAGCTTCTTGTTGTGATCATCATATCATGTAGATTCTGTGTATTGATCAATCTGTGAATTAAGTTCAGGCACTTGCAAAGGAAATTTTGATGTCGAGGAAAGCTGTAAATCGCCTTCATGAAAATAAGGCCCAACTGAATTCAATATCAATGCACCTCGGAGAAAGTGTTGGTATTGCTTTACACATATAAACATTATTTTTGTTCACCTCAAACCATCCCCACCCCCTTCCCCTTGGTTTAAGTCGGCTTGTTGTTATTTATATGTTGTATGTGCTTGCAGCACTTGCCCGTACTGTTGGTCATCTGTCAAAGAGTGCAGAGGTCATGAAACTTGTCAATAACCTCATGAAAGCTCCGGAAATGGCTGCCACAATGCAAGAATTTACCAAAGAAATAACCAAGGTAAGATCCCTTAAAACGCTTTTTGGGTGGCTGTTAGAAATTATAACTCCCTCTGATGACCCTACTTTCTTAAGTGTTGAAGTGGGGATTATATCTCTTGCTTCTTTTTTCTTTTTTTTTACTGTTTATCTGTCTTGAAATGTTATATGGTGTATTATGTCACATAATTATCCTATAAATGATTCGACTGAGATATTTGAATTCACTTATTGTAGAACCAAGGGTGTAATTTATTCTGAATATGCTTATTATTTTCAATTTCTCTTCCTTAATCAATGAACAATGAGAGTGCCGGATATTACCAAATCCTTTTGACAATAAGAATGAATTATATCTGAGTACATCCTTTGACTGGCTCCTTGTTTGGGGAACCATATTTTTTTGAAAATGTGAAGAGAATGAAGCATATCTGAAGCTTCGGTATGTGGAATTTGTTTAGGTGCTTGTTTACTTTATATATAGCTTCTATTTTCTTCAAATCTTTAGATGTAAGACTATTTGGTCATACAGGCTGGGGTGATTGAAGAATTTGTAAATGATGCTGTTGATTCGGCATTAGATTCGGAAGATATAGAAGAGGAAACCGAAGAAGAAGTTGAAAAGGTCCTGAGTGAAATAGCTGGTGAGACAGCTGCACAGCTTCCAGAAGCGGTCAGGAAGGAGAGGACAAAGGTAGCTGCCCAGGGAGCTAGTGCTTCACAAGACGTACGTGCAATAGACTCCATTTCTAGCTTCTCTTTGTTCCTTTGCAAGTTGCAAGGATATAACTCTTGTTATTAATTCATGCAGGAAGAAGCTATAGCAGAGGGTGCCGATGATGAGGAAGAGTTAGAAGAATTGAGGGCACGGCTTGCTCAAGTGAGATCGTAACTTTTCATGACGTACTTACAGCTTGTTCCCTTGTTATTAGGGAAAAGTGTTTGTGTATTTTGTAAAGGCCTATATTTAGTACATCCAAAGTTTAGAAAGTTATTGTTCTATTCAACAGTTAAGGGCTCTAGACACAGCTACAATGTATAAACAAGACAAACATTATATCGATCAGTTATCTAATAGATGCCTTATTAGTTGTAACTAGGTTCTGTTTGTGCAATACACATCGATTTATACGTATTTTTATAATTCGTATATATATCAACGACTGACAATCATTTGCGCACGCCTTACCTCAAGTTGTTGGCTACAGACTTTGCTGTAAAGCTAAGGTTTTGATATATATATAGCTTCTGACAAAGACATCACTTAGGATGATCATTGAATTGGCATTTGCTATTGTTTGTTTTGCTTGTAATTGTAATGCACAAGTCTTGATTTAAAAGAGCCAAAGCCGCTAACTCTACTCACGAGTATTGCATTTTCTGAGTAGATTCCATCAATACTCAATTTCATTCTCATCCAAAAAATCATTCAATCAGCACCACCCTTCCTAGTTCTCTTTCCATAGCTAAGTTCCACTCCAACCTCTTTGCTCAAACTTTATACATTTACAACGGAATTAGGAAAAATTATTGCACGGTATTGAAATAGAGTCACGTAATATTATTAAGGCCTAGTTTATAACATGAGTAAATTGGTAACGCCTTGTTGAAAAATTATTCATCAACGTTCTTCATGTTTCATACAACTTTACCTAGTTTTTTCAGAAAAAAAACAGGTACCAATCTCCAAAGTCGGTACAAAAATACATGTTGTCCTTTTATTGAAAAATTATTCATCAACGTTCTTCATGTTTCATACAACTTTACCTAGTTTTTTCAGAAAAAAAAAAAAAGTACCAATCTCCAAAGTCGGTACAAAATACATGTTGTCCTTTTACAAGATGGGAATGAACGGGGATCATCCTCAGCCTTAAGAGAAACCATTCTGCGTGCACTCCTTGAACAGTGAGCCGGTTTACACGTAATCACAACCCCCACCATTTTCTTGTTTTTTGGCTTATTTTAAGGCAACTCCTTTTTTGCATCCGAAAGCAACGAGGACACGTCACCACCACCGTCTCAGCACCCAATCCCCTGCAACCAGTTCCACCAACTCACGCTCCAAAGGCCCCACGAAACTAAATCCAACGGTGCTGATCATTTCAGCACTATACTTGACCGCATGGGATGAATACCCCAACCACTCACCCCAACTACTCAACAGTCCACTTATATATCGTCGGGCGTCGAGACCGTTAGTTACCTTACCGCCTTCTCTTCTTTCCTGTACTCCATTTTCTCTCCCGTTACATTTCTTCTCTCCAACTCAAAACGCAGAGCGCAAGCAATGAAACGACCGATGTCTCTTCCTGTTCCCTTTCTTCTTCTTCTTCTCTCTACAGTCGCTTCTGCAAAGCTCACGAACCCTCTGGGCCTCGCCAGGTCCAGCTTCCCGTCCGTACACGCGCAGGAGCTCATCAGAGCCTTCAATCTCTTTCCCAAGGAAGATATCAACATCATCGACGGCCCTGATTCCTCGATCTTCCACGATTCGCCGAGGCTCGTCGAGAAGCGCTTCAATCTCCCCAACCTCGTCGGCTCCGGAGTCTCCCTCGAGGACCTCGGCCACCATGCCGGCTACTTTAAGATCGAGCATTCTCATGCCGCAAGGTCAGCTTTGTAAACGCTTAGGATTGAGACGTTTTAATGCTATCAAATTGCTAATTTTGTGTTGCATGGTCAATTTGAAGTTTTTTTTTGGGGGTTTATTTGGATTTGGTTTGAACTTTAGGGTTTTATGGTTAGCTGAGCTTCAATTTCTAGGAAATGAATTGGTTAAACTTTGTTATATTGTGGGGAATTTTATGTATTGAATTTAGGTGCTTGCTTTGTGTTCTCACTTTTCAACTTGTGTGATACTGTAGGATGTTCTACCTTTTCTTCGAGTCTCGCACAAACAAGAAGGACCCTGTTGTTATATGGTTGACTGGAGGCCCAGGGTGCAGCAGTGAATTGGCTGTATTTTATGAAAATGGTCCTTTCAATATCGCAAATAACTTGTCCCTGGTGTGGAACGAGTATGGTTGGGATAAGGTATATGGGACTGTCTCCATTTTATTCTTCATTGTAATGGTTGGATGTGATCGTGTCTTGTCCTTGATATGTTTGAATCTCGCTTGTTATTTATTAATTTTTTACCTGTGAGCCTAATTTGACAAGATGCTTATGAATGGAGAGTATTGGTAGTTTGGTTATACTTGTTGGCTTACTGTATCTTTCAGTAATTGCTCATAGGCCCTATCATAAGTGTTCCTCCGGTTCTGAAATTTTTTGAAGAGTAGTTTTATAACAAGTCCTTGAATTATTTGTACTAAATATTTTTACCTTGTAAATCGTTTGTAAAAGTTTTTCTAAATCATGTCGCACTTGAATGAAAGCGACTCATAGACAACTCTTGAATTATATTTATTTTTACCTGCATGATATCTGAGGCTGTCACTGATTTATATGCATCCTAAAGTAAAGAGCTTGGTGCTGTTAAATGATTTGGGATCATCATATCGGCCATGCAAAGTAGAATTCTTTGTAAATAATGGAGTTTCATGTCTGTTTCTACAGCTCCTTGTCATTTGCGTGAGAGGTAACAATGCTATTTTTATTTCATTTGCAGGCATCTAACCTTCTGTATGTTGACCAACCTATTGGGACTGGCTTTAGTTATAGTACTGACAGGCGCGATAGTCGACACTCAGAAGATGGCATTAGTAATGACCTTTATGACTTCTTACAGGTGTGACAGTTGTCCTTCATTTCTAAGACAATGAAGTTCAGTGTAATTTTCCCAAATTTACTGAGCTATTAGTTTCCTATGAACAAATCACTGATTATTAGTTATTTTGGATATATATCTATATTTCAAACATAAGGTTTATTGTTGTATTGTATAGTAGTATGACTTATTGTGCTCTTTCTATGATATTAGGCCTTCTTTGCTGAGCACCCTGAGTTGGCAAAGAATGACTTTTACATAACTGGAGAATCATATGCTGGACACTACATTCCAGCTTTTGCTGCTCGTGTCCACCGAGGAAACAAAGCTAAAGAAGGAGTTCATATAAATCTAAAGGTAATCTCCAGGATTTTCTAGTTTTGAGAATTCTAATGGGTCATTTCATGGTTTATTAAATTTAGAAAAACTGGTTGAACAGGGATTTGCCATTGGAAATGGGCTCACTGAACCTGCTATCCAGTATAAGGCTTACACAGATTTTGCATTGGACAATGGAATAATCACGAAAACTGACCATGATCGTATTAACAAAGTGCTTCCAGTTTGTGAAATGGCTATTAAGCTTTGTGGTAAGTGACATATGATAGTGGTCTCTTCCTCATTTTGTAGTTCCTTTTTTTTTCCTTTCAAATTTCTTTTAGTTTCGCTTTATCTTTGGACCCCAAGACATGCAAAATCGTTAGTTAAAGTTTGCAGTTCACTTGATCATGATAACACATTAGGGATGGCTCCTTTCTGTTTTAATTTCTCTTTTTGTGTTTTCTCTTCTCTAAGGTGTGGATGTCTGTCTTAGAATTTTCTGTGGGTTTATCTGTATTATGCAAGCCTGTCCATACTTATTAGCCGCATTAGTTGGTCTCTGCTTCTTGTTTAAATGAACATTCTGTTGTTTCAGGCACTGATGGTACGGTCTCTTGCGTGGCTTCATATTTTGTTTGCAATACCATATTCAGTAGCATCCTTGCGCGGGCTGGAAACTTAAATGTAAGTTAACTTTTCATTCATTCTTGACAGAATGATTTCTCTTTCATTATTGCGCGGGCTGGAAACTTAAATGTAAGTTAACTTTTCATTCATTCTTGACAGAATGATTTCTCTTTCATTATTGACAGAATGATTTCTCTTTAATCTATATGTTGTCATGTTCTTATTCAACATGTTTTCTGCCGAAAAAGCATGATAAACTTTTTTATCTGAAAGTTTAAAGAAATAGGTTTTCCCAAACTCAATTAAATCTGTGGAAACTGATGTGAGTTTTAACAAATGATTAATGGCCTGGGCATGCATGTTCCTCAACTTTGTTTTCCCTTAACATCAGCAGGAAAATATTCAGGAAGAAAATATTACTTTAATTATCACATTTTCTGAACATCTGTTATTCCACTAATGAGTCAAATAATGCTATGTGGAGCTTGTCATCTTTAGAGATAATGGTGCCAGAGGAACTCGGGGTAGATGTGAAGTTTGACAGACATTATTTCATTGTGTAGTACTATGACATCAGAAAGAAGTGTGAGGGGAGCTTCTGCTATGATTTCTCAAACATGGAGAAATTCTTGAACCAGAAACCTGTTAGAGAGGCACTCGGAGTTGGGGACCTAAGTTTTGTTTCATGTAGCCCTACGGTGTATCAAGCCATGCTGGTGGACTGGATGAGGAACCTCGAAGTGGGCATTCCTACTCTTCTTGAGGATGGAATCCAGCTGCTTGTGTATGCCGGAGAATATGATCTAATCTGCAACTGGCTTGGTAGGTCTTTTAGCGTTATTTGATACAACTTACCAAACCATCTGTAGTAATATGTATATATACTCCTTTTTTTTTTCTTCCTGAAATGTAATTCTTACCCATGCGTATAAATATCTGTGCGATAGGTAACTCAAGATGGGTCCATGCCATGGAATGGTCTGGTCAGAAAGAGTTTGTGTCTTCTCCAGAAGTTCCTTTTGTTGTTGATGATTCAGAAGCAGGAGTTCTTAAGAACTATGGGCCTCTTAGTTTCCTGAAGGTATCTCTCTCTCTCTCTCTCTCTGACATGTGTGCTCACTGAAGGGAAACTGAATTGATTCTCATTAACTTGATTGAATAATCATTACAGAGGTCTGTTTATATATACAAAGTAATAAGAGTAGCTGAGCATTTGACAGCTGTACAGTTTAGTTAGAGATGGCTAAACTAATCATAACAAATCTAACAGTATTCTGTTGAAGTTAACCACTATGATGAACGGTTGTGATCTGATCGTCTTGTATCTCTATCACTCACATCATCTGCATTTCTACCTATCCGTAGACAATGATTGACCTAGTTATATGGTATGTCCAACAACAAACAGGTCCATGATTCGGGTCACATGGTTCCGATGGACCAGCCCAAGGCTGCATTGGAGATGCTGAGGAGGTGGACTCAGGGCACACTTTCTGAAGCAGCGGCAGAACCAGAAAAATTGTTTGCTCAGATGTGATTTACCTCGGAATATGACCCAAAATGGAGTGATCAGTATAGGATATTAGGGTTTCCATGGTTTCTGAACGAGCTTGTAAATATTTCTCCTATACTGTTGAAGCTGTATTGAGGGGCTAATAGTTTCTAGACAATGCGTTATCTCTTCTTAAAATACTTTGAAATGAATAAAAGACTGCTTATGGATAAATATTTTGTCTTCTTAAAATACATTCTTAAGCCATCGTTCTTTTCGAAAGTTTCTATGGTTGAACAAAATCTGACCTCTGAAAGACAATTCCATCTACGCACATCGTTCGAATGCCCTGGGCTTCAATAATCTAATAAGTAATGGAAATTGGAAAGTCTAAGAAAAATAGCTAAGAGACTCCGTTGCTGGCCACCTTTTTATTAATTTTTCAGCAAAAAATTCGATATTTTCAGTTATTTGACAAATATAGTTAGCCTTGAAGAAGCCAAAAAGAAAATAAAAAGGAAAACAGAATTTGGACGTAGCTTTGAAATCTTCTATTTGTAGAGTATAGCCGAGGCTAAGGGTCCTTTTTAAAATTCTTTTTCATAAATAGTATAACCGCGCGGCTATACTCCGGATTTTTTTAATAAAAACAGTATAGCCGACCGGCTTTACGGGGTTGATTTTTTAATTCTTTTTTATAAATAGTATAGCCGCGCGACTATGCCCCGGATTTTTTATTATAAAATAGTATAGTCAGACGGTGGTACTAAGGGTTTTTAATTCTTTTTAATAAATAGTATAGCCGCCCTGCTATACGACGGATTTTTTTATTAAAAAGAGTATAGCCGCCCGGCATTACTGGGGTTGGTTTTTAAATTCTTTTTTATAAATAGTATAGCCGCGCGGCTATACACTTGGGCCGATAATATACCCGAAACCTGTTATATTTCCAACGGACGTTATCAAACGAAACGTGTTTGTAATTCCGTGGAGCATTTGTTGCTAAAGCAATGGCAGCTGCTCCTGCTCTTGGTTTCTCTCTAAATAATTCGCTGAATTCTCGTCTGCTTTTAGCTCCTTCAGTTTGGGTAAATTCTTTGGTGGTTCCAAGGATTTCAACAGTTTCTTCGTCTTCTTCATCAGCAAAGAAAACCCATCACTTGAAGCTCAAACACTCCCCAAAAGCTTCTTCTGAAGGTACTTTCTCATCTTCTCAACTTGAATTTCATTCATTCTAAAATGACTGGTGATGGCCTGGGCACCTCCTCAATTCGTGTATGAAGCCAAAGGAATATAATAAGATGTTCACTGGAATTACTTCAAAGCTTATCTCTCAGCAAATATATTTCAGCTGAGCTAAAGCTCTAGGCGGGCTAGGCGCTAGGCAGCCCCTCCATCACAAATTAATTATATAAAATAAAAATAAATAAATTCCTGGGCGCCCTCCTAGGCCTCGATTACTCCTCTAGGAGCTAGGGTATTTAGTTTCTAGTTACCCGAAAACAGCTTGTCTTTTTATGTTACCATCAAGATTCACTTTTCATAACTTGACTCTTCATTTCTTTTGTTCTCATTTGTTTGAAGGCATATACTGCCTGCTTATATTTGTTTCTGTGTAATTTTCTTTACAACTTTACAGGAGTTCCTAGTGAGTTGATTGAAGATTCAAAATTCGTTCCTCTAAATGCTGATGATCTAATATATGGTCCACCTGTAAGTTGTGGTTAGTTTCACTCCAATTATGATAAATGCTACTTGCCTATGTTTGCCTATGTTTCTACTTTAGAAGATTGCCCAGAATAGAGAAAATTCTCTACTTTAGGATCTGATTGTTATGAGATTTTTGTTTGCTTTTATTATCTGAAGTTCTGGTAAAATCTGTTCATGATGAACTTTCAAATACTTGAAAGAATCTTTTGAGAATATTTTATCTGCTACTAGGAGCAAACGTACTGTGGAATTATTACATAAACCTGCCTTGCAAATGTAAATCATTGTTTTTTCCGTAGATGTGAGCTGATGAAATGCTATTCCAATAGTAATGAGGTTGAAGACTCAAACTTTCTCTTTTCCAGGCTTTATTATTTTTAGGCTTTGAAGTGGAAGAAGCTGGGAAGGTAACTTTCGCTTTCCCATTCTATTTCAGGTTTTTAGACTACTTTTATTGTTTCCCCATTTCTGTCTTGACCAATGCATCACAACAGTAGAGTTTTCATTTCTTCATCTAAAACTGAAACCATTCGCAAGGATTGCTGCTCCAAAGTTTTAAAAACCCGTTTTCTGTAAACGCTGCAAGGAACCTTCGTCTCATAAAGTAGATTGTTCTTGTAGATAAATTAAATGGTAATTTTGTAGTGTCACACCTATGAACAATAGTTCTGGCTCACTTATGTGTCTTCTGGTGCAGATACAACAGTTTCTGAAAGAGTTGGATGCTGAATTCCTCAAGGTAACCTCCTCATATTTTTATCATTATGTTCATTTTCTATGTAAAAAAGCTACAAAAGAACAGAAAATAGTAAGTTTTCCCTTTCAGGGTTGACCTAAGAAATTGAAAAGGTCAGTTAATTGTTTACCAATTTCCTGTTTGATCTTAATATCAGTTTTTGTAGGTTATTTATTGTACTGAAGACATGATTACTCGTTCACTCTGGGAAGCAATGAATACAAGCCAACCCAATTTGGAAGCATTGAAGGTTGAAGTCTTTATCTTGCTGATTATTTTATGTTATCTTCCTTCTTAAGTCCTAACTTGTAGCCAGCCTCCAATAATTGACATTTTGTATTCTGAAGATTGCCAAGGGACTGCCACGAATCTGTTTCTTATCTGGTCTTAGTGGGGAGGAGATGATGGCGTTCATTGATTCTTTCCCAGAAGCAGGTACCATAAAGTTTCTCTATCAATCAAATGGCCATTCTGTGTTGGTCTCATTTTTTAAGCCACTTCTTGACTGAGAATGGATTTCATTTCTTGTTTGGAAATGGCCAACAGCCAAATAACATGGATGAGTCTGTATGATTAAATATATCTACGAACCCAACAAAGTTCTCTTTGAAGACAATTTTTATGTCCATGTATATTTACTGGCATTGTTCTTTTGGTTTACACAGGACTAGGGCTGCCTGTTTTTGCAGCCCTTGTTCCTAACAGTGCTGATAAACTGCTGGAGGAGTTGATAGAAGAGATTATGGAGGACCATGAAATGCTAGTGAGTAGTATATCGTCTTGCTCCGTTTGTATAAATATACGAAAATCGTCTGTCCGTATCTGACTTGTACATTATTATTCCCATGCAGACTGCAAAGCAAAAGGAAAAGGCATAGGCTATGCAGATTCGATGGTTGAAGATTTGAGTTTTGTTTCTGTGCTTGAGATTTGTATTTAGTGTATGTCAAAGAGATATGTGAAAATAACTAGTAACTATCATCATTATATCTTTGGAAATGTTTGGAATTCATATATTAGAAACTGCAATCATACAATTACAAACCAAGGAACGGCCTTTCTTTTTAAGCATCTCTGTCACTAGTGCCAAAAGTGATCCAGGCCATCAGCAACAATATTGCAACGCTGTTGCGAGTAAATCGATTAGAAGATGAATGTACGGCAGTCTCCTGCCAAAAGCATGAATAAATTGGAAGATTTAGTGCTGTTCGGAAGCTAGTCCTAAATTCATCAAATTCTATGAAGCTAACTATTGTATTTACAATATAGCCGTCAAACAATTCCGGTAACAAGATAAAAAGATGTTTTCTAAAACGAAAACGTGAAATTTGACTTAACTTGCTCGAAGAGTTCATATCACCATGGGAAAAAAGACTTTATACAGCAACCAAATTTGTCAAAAGATATGCAGCAAATCCAACAGTTCAAACCTAGCTCATTATAGATTTTTTTTATTTCTCTTTTCTTTAATTAAAGTTCACATGGCTTCTAATATGAAAAAACACAGTGGGTACTTGAACCCATGATCAGATCATCGGGGTGCTTAAAATTGGGGGATCAAATAGCAAAGAACCAGGTTTATGCATATCAAGACAGTGCAAAATGACGTTCATAATTGCTTAGCTTCAAGGATTTGTATCAAATAAGCAAAGCTATCTGATGCTCTTCAATTAACATCAATTGAAACAAACAAGCATCCAAAATTATCTGAAACTGCAAGTAGCTAAACTAGGATCCAATTGATCACTGTTCTTAATCATAAACAACAACAAAACTAAACCAAAATATCAAAACAGAAAATTAACAGAAAAAGGCATACCTTGAATGACCCAGTTGAAATCACCCAATTCCAAGCAAAACCCACATCACAAAATCAACCAAACCATTAATCACTAATCACCCATCTTCATCATCATTGTCACTCTCATCACTAAAGTAACTAGCTTTCTTCACACCCTTTTTCCTCTTCTTCTCCTCCAACTCCTCCCCCACCAGCAACCTCTGGTCGGCTCCACTATCCACCACAGACGCCCAATTATCATCCTCAAACCTCTCACCTCCACTGTCCCCCTCGGCCTCTTCCACACGCGCTGCCGCACTTCCACCACCACCGCCGCCACCTCTCCTCACTCGCTTCGGCGGCGGCCGCTCCCTGGGTCCCAGCTGGTTCTTCGGACACTCGTACGACAAATGCCCTTCTTCACCGCACTCGTAGCACCGGCTCTTGTCCTTGTACTCCCTCTTCTTAATGAACTCGGCGGCTCGGCCGTTGTCGGAGGCGATGGAGGCGGAGAGCTTCCGGCCGTTGAGAATCTTCCCGTGCATCTCACCCGCCGCCGAGACCGCGTCGGTGCGCGAGACGAACTGGACGAAGGCGACGCCGCGGCTCTGGCGGGTCTCGCGGTTTTTGAGGACCGTGACTCGGGCGATCTTGCCGAAGTGGGAGAAGAGGGTGTGGAGGTCCGAGTTGGTGAGAGAATAGTCGAGGTTTGAGACGTAAAGGGTCGATTTTGATGGAGCTAGGGTTCCTGAGCCCGACCCGCTCTGCTTGGTTGCGGGTTTTCGAGTCTCCGGGGCTGAGGCGTATCGGTAGTAGAAGGTTTCGTCTTCGTCTTCGTCGCTGCTGTTCTTCTTCTTCTTCTTTTCCACCATTGTCGATGTCTCTCTCGAAGTAAAGCTCTCGACTTGAGAGCTTTTTCCTTATTTTCTTTTTCTTTTTGTCTATTTTTGTCAGAGCACGTGGAGGTCACGTGAGATTTGCAAAACCAGAAATAAAAGGAAAATGAAAAAAAAAACGTTGTCTTTAGTTGAGCTGGAGAGATATCAGATTAGAGAATCGGTTATGAGTGTGGAGAGAGAAAGCTTCCACAAATTGAAAGCTCGACCGCTGAAGAAAGAGGTAGCTGAGAAGAAAGCTTCAGATGTTTCAAAATCAGAGATTGTTCTGCAATAAGACACCAGACCAGTTTTAGGGTTTCCTGTAAGCTAATATCCATAACTCCTTCTCTCAAGGTACCAATTTTTTCCTTATATTTCTCTGACATTTTCTTGTTTTTCAGCTTCCTTAACAAGTAAATCGATGAAAAATCTTATCTTTAGAATTGGGTATTGGATGTTTTGTTATTTTCTGAGATGGGTATTGATTGAAATCCATCGTTTTGTCTGTAGGTCGATGATTTCGATTTCTGTAAGTAGAGTTTAGGCCCCGTTCCTTGCTGCACAATAATTTGAAAGATAATAGACAAGTAATTTGATTCAAGCTAAAGGCTTTGACAGACGAATAGAAATATCCTAGTAATCTGGTAGAGGCTACAAGAAATATTGAAACTAACATACGAGCCTCCAAAAATTTGATGAGCTTGAATTTACTATCATGACAAGAAAATAATCATGTCACTTACAATGCAGGCAGTTGAGATATAAATTTGTTTATTACAGTTGAGCTGATTCGGCACATGATAAACAGCATTCTGATATGTAAACCAAAATAATAGAGGGCCAATAAGTGTAGATTTCACATATTCTTTTCAGTTGGTAATTTACAAAATCTATAGTGCCACTAGTAGTTAAATTTCCTTTATCATTCAGTGAAGATGCACAAAGCTGCTGTATTATTGCCTGTGTCGATTAGTTTTCCATATACGTTCTCCGCTTTACCATTTCACTCTTCTTATTCTCTTCAATGTTTGACAAAACCAGTGATGAACTGCCTTTGGCTTTGAAAAGATGCATGGATTCTCCACTGTTGATGGCTTTGTGGAGATAACTGAAGGCTTGGCAGAGATGATTAAGTACGTGGCAAATGAACCGTCAGTAGGGCTTTTTTATATTCAGCAGCACACTCAAAATGCAGTTCCCAATCTTGTTAGTCTTAGAAATACCGTTGTGGATAGGTCCCGTGAAACAACTTTGCACACTGAAGATTCAGAGGATTCCATAGCCATGGTGAGATCAATGAAAGAATGCGGATTCCCCATTGCTGATGAGATGATTAGAGACATAAAAAAATCTCTAGCAGTTATGTCAACAAAGCAACCAAAGAGAGGGCTAATCGATAACCAAACATCAAGTTTTCAGATGGGAAGAACAAGCTCTTGGAAACCAGCCAGTTGGGTTCGTTCCCCAAGTGTTGCCCAGCAGGACACTGAAAGCGGCTATTTTTCTACTGTGATCAAATCTGCAAGACAAAAGGCGAGCAACTTCAAGTGGCCGCCACATGATTCTAAAGAATTAACACAGGCTTCTTATCCTAACCCAACACTGTCAGTTGCTTCTGCGAGCACTAGTTCATCTCTGCCAGATGTGGAAGCTGAGGAGTTGCCCGTGTCAAGCCATGTTGCAGATGAGCAACAAGAAGACCAAGTTGATGATAGCTTGTCGACTCATAATTTATTACCAATGGAAGAAAACTTTGATGAATTCAAGGCTGATAAAGAACTTAAACTACAAGAGTGGTTGGAAGGGACTGGCAACGTAGATAATCGCAGAGAAGCAAGTGCTGCAGAAATATTTTAGTTTGTCGTTGTTAAGATACTGAAACCGCTTTGTCATGTACATACTGTTGTGTCCTGTGTTATTATCTATGGATGATAATGTACACATGATTGTTTGAATTTTCAACGGTGATAATAAAATTTTTCTCTGATTCTTAGTTCCCTTGTGGCATGGCAGAAGTCATCAAGCCGCCATAACTTTGTCTGTGTCTCTCTGATTCCATATAAAGCTCCTAAACTAGAAGGAAAGACACTTCTTTGAGGTTGGCTATGTGGTATGAGTTTTTGCGCATGTAGTACATGCTCAAACATTTGGCAAGATCTATAATTTTCTCTTCTTGGATACAAATGCGCGAAAGCCTTGCCTTATTATTGAACTTTCGAACGTGGCTTTGAAAATTCTACCTTTCTCCATATTCGTTCATTATTCAACCCGTAGAAGAGAGGGTTTGGAGTTTACCAAAACAAAAGAAAATGGGTTTTGAGTGAATGAGAAATGCTAAAAGGGCCTTGTTCTGGTTGTTATGGACGAGGAGGAGAGGTGGACCAGTTGAATGGTAAATCTGAAGGGCAAAAAACTGCTCTGCCGGTAAATGTAAATTGGCAAAAATTGAGTAACTAAAATAGGTGATGTGGAAGATGACTTGTATTGCCAGCATATACACATAATTTTCGCATATTATTGAATAAAAATAATATATATTAAATAAATCATAATAAAATATTATGTAGTGCCCGAACTTATCAGTTGTAATTGCCAAAATATTTCCAAATCAAACACGTACGTATTTTATTCATATTTTTCTCATTCTGTGTTTTACTAACTATGAAAGAATGTGAGAGGCTAAGATATTTCTTGTTGTAACATAAATGCAAGATTGGTGATTTTGCAATCTCTTTGCCAACCAGAACAACAATTTCAAACAAAGATTTATAGGTATAATAGTAAGTGAGGTTGTAGTATTCTTCATGTAAACTGGTGTTTGAAATGTGAAGCAACTCCAACACAGCATGCAATTCTCTACAACAAATAATGTGTGCAGTAACAAAATTTAGTAGCACTCGAGAGAACGAGGTAGACCAAAGGCAAATATTCCCACAAATAAATAAGAAGAAAAAGTTAAAGTCTCCAATTGATTTACTATGAAATTTCTCTCTCTTCAATATCTGCTTCGGAGATGTCAAAACTAGCAAATTAATATCTATAAAGTATAAACTAATACAACTAGAATGGACCTTTTCTTTTAAATTTTTTTAATAAATAGTATAGCCGACCGGCTATCCTTTTATTGACATGTGGCAACAAGTCGCTAGACAGGCCCTTTCTTCGTTTTTTTAATTAGGATAGCCCTACGGCTATACTTTTGAATTTTTTGAAAAGATAGCATCGACGCGCGGCTATACTTTCATTGACACGTGCTAGGCGAATCACCTATTTCTTTTAATAGTATAGCCGGGCGGCTATACTATGGATTTTTTTTTAATAAAAAAGAGTAAGCTTCTGTGGTCTTTTTTAAATTCTAAAATAGTATAGCCGCAAGGCTATACACTTTACATAGACAGTGTGATCTTTTTTTATCATTGTTTTCCCCCATGTTTGTTTATCGATAAAAGCAGTTTAGAGCATTATCTATTATTATTAGCCCATTACTCGAGTCTCTATTGTCCATTTTTGAGTTTTTCCTTTTCTAGAGTTATTACCCGTATAAAGAATTTAGCATTTTCACTTTTAACACTCTTATCGTACACGTACGTATGTATTTTTCATGTTTAATACACTTCTTTTTTACTAAATTTTTAGGAATACAAACACAATTCACGTATTACACACAAAATAATCTCATATTATTGAATAAAAACAAAATTTATTAAAATATTTAAATACTAATTATTCATTAAGTAAATAGTAATTAAAACATAACTACTAATTAAAATAATTAAAAAAGAGAAATTCGGATTATGCTGCACGGCAATACTTTTTAACAAATTCTATTTGGAGCGAATAGCCGCACGGCTGTACATTTGAAATATTCTATTTGTAGCGTATAGCCGGCCGGCTATACTCCTTTCCATAAAATATACACGTGCTGGGCCCTAGGCGGTTCCCCTTTTCCTTTTATTTTTTAATAAATCGTATCGCCGGGCAGCTATACTCTAAAATTTTTTTATAGTAACGCCGACTGGCTTTACTGGGGTCCCTTTTCTTCAATTATTTTTTATAAATAGTATAGCCGCAGAGTTGAAATATTCTATTTATAGAGTATAGCCGCACGGCTATATTCCTCTCCCAAAAAAGGTTCCCCCTTGTTCTCTCTTTTAATAAATCGTATAGCCGGGCGGCTATGCTCTGGAATTTTTTTTATTAAAAAAGAGTACAGCCGGCCGGCTTTACTGTGGTCCTGTTTAATTATTTTTTATAAATAGTATAGCCGCTCGGCTATACCCCTTTCCAAATAAATAAATAAAACACGAGCTGGGCGATAGGCTGTTCCCCCGTTTTCTTTTCTTTTTTATAAATAGTATAGCCGGTCGGCTATACTCTAAATTTTTTTCATTTAAAAATGTCCTTTTTTTCAATTCTTTTAGTAATATATCCGCACGGTTATACTCTTTACAGACACTCATTTTTTTTGTTTTTCCCCATTTTTGTTTATCAATAAGAGTAGTTTAGAGCATAATCCATTATTATTAGGTCATTGCCCGCATATCTATGTCCCATTTTGAGTTTTTACTTTTCTAGAGTTGTTACCCGTATAAAGAATTTAACATTTTCACTTTTAATACTCGTATTGTACAGGTACGTACGTATTTTTCGTGTTTAATAAACTTGTTTTTACAAAATTTTCAATAATACACACAAAATTCAAAAGTTGATCCTCTAGCATTATTGGAATATTTTTTTTGGTTATTAATAAGACTTGCAATATGATGGGGTGCATGTCTACCGTCTACAAGCAAACATTAATACTGAATATTCTCAAAACAACGTTTTATAAATAAAGAGTTCCAGGCAGCACTGGTTTGCATCCAATTACTAACCAATCAATCGATTGCTACAGAAGTCAAGCATTTTTGCATATTACCATATAATCTGATCATTATAGTACAAGGAAAATCATTATCATGTTTCATCAATTTGTTTGCTTTATTTTGTAATTTTGTTACAAAATAAAAATAAAAATCAACACAGCAAATCCGCAGAGATTGCTTCCTTAACAAGCATTAACTCAACAAGTTGTGGACATGGAAAGATTACAACCCTGATATCATTCCACCAGTCAACAATCACTGGGGTCTCGTCATAGAAGCCTCGACCATTGGCTCACCACAATCAGCTTGGTAACAATTGTCCTGAACAGTAGGTATAATTGTGGCATGGTTCATGAGTTTCATGTTTAAGCGCTAGGCCAAACATGTTGCCACGATTGTCATCTCCGTTTAATTCAGGCTTCTTGAAAGATGGCTTGGAGTTGCTCTTGCTCAATGTTCAATTGGTGACAGCATTTGTCATTGGCCCGAGAAGACGAGAGCAAGTGGCACCATTTTCTTCTACAATTGAGCATGCTGGCGGTTATTCAGCCAAAGCACATGCTGAGCGGAAAATAGCTTTCACAAGTCTTTGGTAGCAGAAACTTGTAAAGTCTTCATGGTGGCCACTTGTACGCAGACTCAAAGGTGAATAGAACAGTCCCATAAATTGGGAAAAGCATGCACCACAATGGCCGACTCCCCTAAGCCAAAGGATCTGGATCTCAACGCTACAAAAAGTAAATAATGCTCACCGAATGGAACCACTTTCAAGGTAAAGAAAAGTTAATGATATCTCACCTCTCATCATAAGAGGTCATCTACTCATTCTTCAACACGTCGGAATGATTTTGCCCTAACAAAATACAGAAAACAATGTTTATTGGAAAAATGTATATTAACAAATGCAGAAGAAAAAGAAAGATACAGGCATTACCACAGTTGGCAATATATAAGCTTACCAGTTTAACTGCACTGTACTATGAAAAAGTAAAGAAAAAAACTTAACAAAAAGAAAAAGGTAAACTCGAAGATTTAGGGAAGAAAAAGGAAAAGGAAACCTAGGACTTTGTTGCATGCTCTGCTAAAAAAGGGAAGAGGGGGGGTGGGGGGCGAGGGATTATGTCCCACTAATTTTCTTAATATGCATTGAGTGACACAAATTTGTAAGAAAACCCTCAAATTTACCTGAACCAAGTGTGTTAGAGGGTGCTTGACTTGTGGTTTTAGTTTCGTCTGACACTTTATCATTCACTGAGTTTGAATTAGCAGAAGGTGCAGACCCATTGCCATGGCGCATTATTTTAGCCTTTCTGGGAAATTAAGGAAAATAACCACATTATAAATAATAATTTAACTGACTTTGTAACAGAGATATCTTTCTCATGAGAGAAAAAGAGATACATGAATTATCCAAGTAACAGAATATTCAAAGCTTCTACCTGACCAGTTTTCGTTTCAAAGTGCCAGCTTTCAGCTTTGATGTCCCTTCAAAAACCACTTTAATTGTTATTTACTAACTCTCATATTTTGCACGAAAATATATTGATAAAAATCAGCGTTAACCACTCACCAGACTTTAAAGCCAATGAAGTCGAAGCTGGTTTACGAATGCCCCTTTCAGCTTTTATTAAGGCAATTACAGAATCAGCAGTAGGCCCCAATCCTTTTCTCCCCACCAGCTTCACTCCCAGCTTTTCACAGAGGTAATTCAACCTCATCTCATCACCTCCTCGCACCTCTCTGAGGTCAAGAACCTGCTGCCTAGATAACAACGTGTAAACATGAAGTTGCTGCTGCTGATTAAAATGTGACTGAAGCTGCTGAAAAAGTAACTTATTTGAATGCTGTTGATCAGGTTTTGCACTGTCATGACTCTTCTTCCGAGGCTCATTAAATGTCACTCTTAAAATTGCCGTCGACTTAGGATCAGCATTCCTTCGACAAAAGATAACAGAAAAACTCCCAAATTCTAAATCAGGCTCCCTAAATAAATCCGCAAGAAGGGAAGCACAAGAATGGGCATTCTTTGATGGGTTCCTGTTAATTTTTATCCTCAGGGCACGAGCGTTAGCATAGTGAGCCATATTTGCAGCTTCTCTGAGCCCACTAAGAAAAGCGCCATGCATGGTTGCAGGATATCTCCGATTGGTAGCCTCACCTGCAAAGAAAAGCCGTCCATCTCCTACACTTTCTGCTAAAATATCATAATCATCTCCAGACGCCCCTACTGCCACATTAGAGTAAGAACCTAGGCTGAAGGGGTCGCTTCCCCATCTGGTACAGACTGTTTGGATGGGCTCTGGGACACTAATTCCTTGTGGTTCATATATACCTGCATTGATATTCCATTACTGAGTAACTGTTATGAAAACTTGTGAATTTGCAGAACTTCATATATGTGTGGAAAATAGCTTTCATTTACGAAAAAAAAAATTAAAGCCACATATATTATAATCTAAGTTCAAAAAATGAATGGATTACCCTTGAGAATCTGAATAACCCGGGTCACAGCATCCGTAGGGGGCATGCTCTCAAACTTATGTGCAGCTTCACCCGCTACTAAAGCAATCAAAAGGGGACCGCCAGCAACTGTTGCATAGCTGTAAAACAGGAAGAACTCCCCTCGACGGGTTGAATCATCAGAAAGGTGGCCAAAGGTATCAAGATCTGTGCCCCAGAACACATGAGGAAAAAGCATTGCAACCTTATTCAACAGTCCGAACCCCAACCTCTTTATTCCATCAAGCTTTCTCTGAGGCAACTCTGGAATAAACTTGATGGACCCGCTCTTCAAAACACCAAGTGGAACAGTGCACAATGCCATATCACCCTCAAAAACCTGGCTGCCAGCAATAACCTGCACTCCATCACTACCATACCTAATGGTGTGCACAATTTTCTCATATAAGATCGGTACATTCTCTGCCAAAGCCTGCACCAACCTTCCATTTCCTCCAGGCAAGAAGCAATGGTCCCCTCCCATATCATACGGATCATCTTGGTCCCAAAATGCAAGTGAAAGATTTGATATTAAACCTGCATTTGCATATTCCAAATTTGCAAGATGCCAATTAAACATGTTCATCTCCTCAGCATTCACAGCATCCCCATAAACCTGCCAGAACGTTTCCAATGCTGCACCAAGAGACACGTCAACCGAAACACCTCCCATTAACTGCCTAAGCCTACTTGCCTTATCTAGAAGCTGGTTAAAAGCAGTTTCCACCTTCATATCCATATCAGGATCTACAGGCTTCCCATCAAAACTATAAAGTGGGCACCTATCCCTCACTTTATGAAGCACATAACCCAATTGGCGTGCAACAATGCCAAGTGGGTTCCCTAATGTACCAGTCAAAACACTCCCCCCTAAATCCGCCGCTGCACATACCCTAATTCCTCCCTCCATTTTCTTAGTATAAACCCGCCCGCCCGCTCGCTTCCTACCCTCCAAAACAGTCACTTTAAACCCAAAACGCATCATTTGCCTGGCAGCAGCCAGACCAGCAAGCCCAGCACCAATCACAATCACATGTGGTTTACTGGGTTCAGCCGGAATCTTCTCTTTGATAGCCGGAGCAACCCCAAAGTTAATATAACCATGCGAAACCAGATATTTATAAGTAGAATCCAACAGGGAATGACAATGTTTAGGTATAGAATCAATAAATATATCTTTTGTGACCCAATTCGACACATTTTCACGCCATTTAGCAATTATGTGGTTCCTAATGAGAATGTAATTGACCTGCTCTATGCCCCCAATAATTCGAATTACCCCGAAATCAATTTCCTCCTCGGTGAGCGAATCCGCAGGAAAACCAGCCGACAGCGCGATCAGCGCCTCCGCTGTGGACTCCTTATTGATCACGATGATCTCGTCGGACATATCAGGCATGGTTCTTGCCAAAGAACCAGGGATTTCTATATTGTTTCTGGAGGAATGAGCTGAAATTGAACTGGAAAAAGAAGCAAGACCGTTGTTATTACTGTTGAAAACGCCGTTGGGAATTGGAGGTAACTGAAACGACGTCGGAACCCTATGAGGCCTGCCTCGTCTTCGTTTCTTGGGGACCGAGAAGGAAAGAAGGTGAGCTGAGCTAGGGTTTTCGACTGTATTTGGAATTGGCGCTGCGTTTGAATTGGGGTTAGGGTTTTCTGGGGGAACAAAGAGGGCGAATGGGATTGGAGGGAACGAAGAAAAATCATCGGGGAATTCGTTAGGTGGATCCATCGCCGTCTGGACTGGTTGGGGTTGTGGTGGTGAAGGAGAGGAATGAAATGAACTGTTTGGTTCCCGGGAAAATTTTGGCACGGTAACTATGTTAACGGGTTTTGATCCCGTAAGGGTTAAATTGGATTTTAAAAGGGATAAAAGAGTTTAATATAAAAAGACTATTAAGTAATTTATGAATTATTTAAATATTAATTATTTATTCGGTTTTATTTTTTATAATTAAGTAATATCTTAGCCTTTTTAATTACTTTAATTAGTATTTATGTTTTAATTATTATTTCTTTAGTGAATAATTAGTATTTAACTATTTTATTAATTTCATAAATTACTTAATAAACACTAATTAATTATTTTAAATTATTTTGTGTACTTTGTTTTTATTTATTTTTATACAAAATTATTTTATTTAGTTTAATATTCGCAATGAGTAATATCTTAGTCTTATTCAATTATATTAATTATTATTTATTTAATGAATAATTAGTATTAATTTCATAATTTACTTAATAAATATTAATTAATTATATTCACTTATCTTAAATAATTTTGTGGACTTTAATTTTTTTTAAATTTCCCAATATATTTTTAAAATAGTTTCAACTGTTATAAAATTATTTTAGTATTAGAAAAATGGATTTGAGCATCCAAACCCTAAATCCAAGTCTCAAACATTTCTCAAGCCTCAAATCTTAACCAGAAGACTACAATGGGGCCCATATAACTCAATTAGGCTTGGATATTCACGTAACTCAACCTAGAGTTTTACGATTAGAGTTTCGATCTTAATATTCAGTTAGTACGATATAAACTGGACCTAACCCTTGAGATAGATTTTAACAAGTGATTTGTTGTTGGAATCTCACAACAAAAGGTGCCATTTCCTTATCTCTTCATGTATTTCATTCAAACTCCAACAAGTAGTTAATATTATCGAATCACGTTGTGACTTGGATTTAGGATTTGGAGGCTAAAATCCTGTAGGGGTCTTTTTGTTCCAGCAGCCTGACGAATGGGCTTGGGTTGCCATAAGAAGAAAAGGAATAGAAATTCCCCAAGTATCAGAGTTCAGAGACCAGACTCCCAAAAGAGTTTTTGAAGAGCTTGATGCAACTCTAGAAAAACACTCTCAAGTTTTTTTCACCAATAGCCAAATAAACATGATAGATTAATTAATGGCTTAGCATAAGAAGCTTGTGGCATGGGAGCAAAACCATCATGAGTTTAGCATGAACAGAGAGAAATGAGCATGAGTTTCTTACAGTGAACAAAGGGTTAAAGTGGAACAGAGGAAGATTAAATAGATTTCTTTCTTAGAGAAAGGAGAAAACAAACGAGGAAGAAGATAGGGTGGCTTGAGTAAAATTCTCAGTTTGCTTGACAAAGCTTGGTCAGGCTTTAGAGAATGATTTTCTGAGTAGAAGAAGCTCTCTTTTATAGGCTTGAAGAACCCTAATTTCGTCTAACTTTTCCTTTCCCTTTTCATCGTTTCTTCCTACTTGATCTAATTTGGTGAAATTCTCCTATCCAATGTGCATGCGTAAGGAACCCTTTGTGGTTCCAAGGATTTGACGCAGCTGGACCTCCCCATGAGGGTGAGGCGCCACTTGCTTTCCTCATTGGTTTTCCAAGTGAAGCTGGTAATGGAAAAGAAGATGGGTAGAGCTTTTTGTCCAATGCGTATCTGTCTTGCTCGTATGAATTTCCTTTGGTTTTACGTTGGCTCATGTTGACTATGTCATAGAACTTTGGGCAAAGGCTGAACACGCTTGCTATATATTTTGTAGAGCACTGAGCTGGGCTTTTCCCAAGGTTTTGGGTCAGTGATACTCTATTCTACAGCAATCAGTTAGCTTGTCTTCGTCAAGCTGCTTGAAGCAGTTTGCCTGTTGCATTTTTAACAAAGTATTTGGATGCTCTAACTAACATAGGATTTCCTAAGCAAACTATTGTATTCTCTAAGGCATTGGGTCATGTTCTCTCTCTCTTATGCTAGCCCATGTGTTTGGGCCCAAGAAATGGGCTTGAGTTTTAAGGCTCCCAAGCAGCCCAAAACTTCCATTTCTTGGCTCATCAATGGGCCTTATGAAAGCTTGTTACCATCCACACAACAACCCACTCAAGCAAGCCTCAGACATTTGGGTGGCTTGGGCCCACTTAAACTTGTAGTGTGGTTGGGTGTTAAATAATAATTTCCTGCTTAGTATGACGTGTCAATCGGCGCGTTTTAATTTTATCATCCTTGAATAGAGGCATGATGCTTGACGGGGTAATTAGCATGGGCTCGTAGAGTTAGTGCTTATTTCAACTCTTAGCATGAGAGATTGCATATTTATTTGGCATGACATGTGGTCGAGGCTTGTGCAAACATGAATGAGGAATTTTGCATGCTTCGAACCGAGTTTTTTTCTTAATAAGGCATTATGTTGGGCCGAGAATTTATTTGGGCCTCAACAAATCCATATACTAAGGACTCGATTAGTCTCAGACATGTAAATAATAAAAGTCAAGGATATCCTAACACAGTAGAGGATCCGAACCCATTAAAAGTTTATAATTATTTAAGTATATAAAAAATAATATAATAACAACATATTAAGGTAATGCTTGACTTAATCCAATATTAAGAGTCGTTTAAATTTAAAACGAAATTAGTTATTAACAATTATTTATTGTTAACTTCCTAGTTTTACTAGAAATTTACTAAACGTCGTTTTAAACCTTGTCAACAAAGATAACTTATGTTTGGAAAATAATAATAATAATAATATTTATCTTGCCTATTTTAATTGGATTTATATTCAGACAAATTAACATTCTATCACAATTTTTCATAAATTGGTGTGACCGTTTGTGAAATTGTGATAGTGAGTTATTATTTTAATAAACTTATTGCAATTATATTTATTCCATTATTTTTCTGGTACTAATTTATCCATTCATAGTAACTATTTTTTTTTAGGGAAACATTCAGCGTAATTGTAAAAGGTGTCATTTCCTTATCTCTTCATGTATTTCATTTAAACTCCAACTAGTAGTTGATATTATCGAATCATGTTGTGACTTAGATTTAGGTTTTGGAGGCTAAAATCCATTTTTGGAATACTAAGAACTTGATGCTCAGACATGTAAATGATAAAAGTCAAGAATATCCTAACACAACAAAGGATCTGAACCCATTAAAAATTGCACAACACATTAAAAGTTTATAATTATTTAACTATATAAAAAAAAATATAATAACAACATATTAAGGTAATGATTGACTTGATCCAATATTAAGAGTCGTTTAGATTTAATATGAAAGTAGTTATTAACAATTGTTTATTGTTAATTTCCTAATTTTACTATAAATTTATTAAACTAAACGTCATTTTAAACCTTATCAAATTTAGATTAAAAAAACCTAAAATCATGCAGCTGTCATTTATCTAACTATATTTTATATATGAAATTACTGTTTTATTATTTTGTATGAATTTGAGAGACAAAAAAGCCCAAATTTTCCAGCTGGATTAAATTTAGACAAAAAAAGCCCAAAACGATTTTAATTGCCTCATACGAATTTACTTAATTGCCCTTTTAGCATTTTGGTTTTCTGATTCTCCTTTTCTATCGTTGAAAGCCAAAGCAAAGCTTTTGGACGAAGCTCAGTTCATTTCCACGAGCTCCGATCTCTGCCCTTCGTCTCAAAACTCCAATCTTCAGTTTTTTTGCTTCCATTTCGTTGGGAAATCGTTTTTATCCTGGTTTTTTATTTTTTCGAATTTTGTCAAATTGAGATGACCTTCGCACAAAGCCAAGATTCTGATTCATGAGTTCTACGTTTTGTTCTTCGTCTCAGAGCTTCGATTTTCAAGATTTCTAGTTCGATTTCTTGTTCAGAAGTCGTTTTTATCCTCTTATTCTTCTGATCGTTGGAATCGAAGTAAGTGATATATATATATATTTTTTTTTCTTCATTTTTTAGCAGTTGAATCAGACCTAGTTTTTATTCTTTGTTTGAGAAACACAAAAACAATTTGTTTGTGATTTTGTGCAAGTTTAGAGTTTCAATTTGCTTTCAATTTAGGATTCTGATTTACAATTGCCAATAGTTAATTTTTATCTTTATTGAAATTTGAAATTTCTAAATATTTTAGTTTGTTGTCTTTTTTTTTTTTTTTTTTTTTTTTTTTTTTTTTTTTGGTCTTTGGTCCGCCTCCTAATTATTAGATATAAGATTTATTTAAGATGAAATAAATAAACGTTCTGATCAGGTTTTGGTTTTGATTTGTGCAGGTTGGAGTTTCGATCTCTGTCCTAGATTTGCAATTGTGTGATTGGTGAGATTTTTGCTTGAAGACGTTTATTCTCATTGGATTTTCAGTTGAGCTGAGGTATACATGGTAAGCTTCGGTGATCAGTTTATCTTTTGTTGCTATGTAGTGTTATTTATCTCGTTTTTTATATCCGAATTTGGTTCTGTGACGTGTTATTTTCATGGTACTGTTTGTTGCCTCGTGTTTCTGGAAAAAAGTTTGGTAGTATCTTATATGAGAATGAGATTTTGGGAATTCCTTTTATGATTGACTTGAAAAGAAATTGATATCATACTTTAAAAAAAATTGATATTGAAGTTGCTATTAATATAGTGCAATAACCTAATTGCAAGGAAACTTTAAGTTAACTGATCATTCTATTACAATTTCATAGCACAACTTATGCAGCAGGAATTTTTAGAATCCTGCAGTTTAGCTGTTTTGCATTGAGCATTTGAAGTATCGTTTAAACTCAGAATTCTTTGAAATTTTGACATAATTTAGTTTCACATGCCTTCTTCAATTCTGGAAAGTTTCGTGCCTTTTGGTGCAAAGCTCAATTTTTGGTGCATTTTATCTTACAGGACGTACCTGCAGTTTTTTCCTTGTGGCTGGTAAAATCAATGAGAAGTTTCTAACCATTTTAATCAATGAGAAGTTTCTAACCATTTTAAGTTCTTTTAAATTTGTTGATTTCTTCCATTAATCTTTTACCAAATTTTTGTATTGAAACGTCTTGTAGTTTAAAATATCCTTGTTGTTAAAAAAGGTTGAAAACAAAGTCCAACCAACCAAGTTTAATTTTATTGGTTGTTTCCATACCAGCAGTACAGTCTCAATATTTTATCAATAATCTTTCTATTCCTATGCTTTTATTTGACATTTATTCATTTATGCATCCCTTTAACTCACACCTCAGTTTTGGGGTGTGACAGAATTGGCTGTTACTGCAGATGAATATATATAGCTTGTTGCATTTTGGCTTCATGTAAGTATTTTTCAAGAATTTATGTGCTTTAATCTTTTTGGAAGAATGGTGTTTTTTGTTGTTTTTGTCAAGTATTTGAATTTCTTATAGGTATGTGCTTCATTTTTGCTTCAATGATTTGTGAAGTTTCAGTGGATTTATTATACTTTTCTGGGTGCACTGTTATTATCGAAGTCATCTGTTATTAGCTGTAGTCCACTGCTATTACCTTCAGTCCACTGTTATTACCTGTAGTCCATTCTTACCTCCTTTAACTACTCTTTCTTTTTGTTACAAGTCCTAATACATTCTTTGTCATCATCATTCTTGGTTTTAAATCTGGTAATGCTATGATATATGCCATGGTTTTGGGAGTGGCTTTTGGTGTCTGTGGTCTAGTTTTTGTTGTGGCTTTTGGTGTTGGGGGTTTGGTTGTGAAATCGTCATCTTCTTCTGTTGTTGCTGTTGGTGGTGGGCTTTGTTCTTGTGATTCTTGTTCCTTTGATCGCTGTGCTCTTGTTTTGTATCTGAGCCTCACGATTTCTTTTCCTGACATCTAGTAAAACAAAGCAGGAATCAGTGGCCATTACAGTAGTTTTGTTGCTAGGTAATAGAACTACAACATAGCTAGATAAATGTGCATTTGGATGTGTGAACACTAGTAAAAGAAAGCAGGAATCAGTGGTCGTTACTGTAGTTTTGTTGCTAGGTAATAGAGCTACAACATAGCTAGATAAATGTGGATTTGGATGAATGAACATCTAGTTAAAGAAAGCAGGAATCAGTGGTCATTACTGTAGTTTTGTTGCTAGATAATAGAACTACAACTTAGTTAGATAAATGTGCATTTGGATGTATGAACACTAGTAAAAGAAAGCAGGAATCAGTGGTCATTACTGTAGTTTTGTTGCTGGGTAATAGAACTACAACATAGCTAAATAAATGTGCATTTGGATGAATGAACATCTGGTTAAACAAAGCAGGAATCAGTGGTCATTACTGTACTTTTGTTGCGAGGTAATAGAACTACAACATAGTTAGCTACAACATGTAGTGGTTTTAGGTATAGAAAATTCAGCTCTATTTTGCCAAGTACTTGTGTAGAGCTTAGTTGAAGATAATCTAATTCTGCTTCTTGGAAGATACTGCATATGCATTTGGAACTGGAGTTTCAATAATGCCCTCTTTGGTTGCTCATGTTTTGTACAAAAAAAAAGAGGAAAGAATTTAATAGAAATTAGAACATACTTTTTTGGTTGTGTTGGTTTAAAAAAGCTAAAAGTCTTAGTTCAACGAAGTATCCTTCCAGCATTTGCTTTAGTTAGTTTTGTGTTGAAAGCTAATTGTTATGCCTTGGATTGAAACAAAGTAGTAGCGTATGAACAGTGCCCTTTATTTTCAGTTGCTACTAAGCTGTGCCGGAATGATTTGAGTTGTACAGCTCTTCCAAGGTGAAAGCTCAATATGGGAATTTTTGATGGATTGCCTGTGTCTCCAGACAAGGAAGTAAGTTCAGTTCATTCATCTTATTGTACTTGTTAATGACTATTTTTGTGGTTGTGTACACCGGATATGGAGCTCATATTCCCATTTTTCACGTTTGTATTACTTGTTGGAATTGAAATATTGTATTCTCCTCCCATAACAAAGAAGATGATACACAACAACATGCATGTAAGCTTTTAGGCAAAACCTTATGAGAATTCATGTAGTGTTATTTCTACTGATCAGAAGAAAAAAAAAGAGCTGGAGGTTTCTATATATTCATGTCTGGCGCCCTGCATAATGTCAATTTATTGAAATTATACCAATAACCTTGTGAGGTAAGAGCATACAAAGAATTTACAGTAATACATTTCTGCATCTAGAGCTAGAAGCATGGACCAACATATGTAATACAATAATTTAATACAGTGATTATACTTTAGCATGTATGCCATGTTGTGCATACTGCTTCTTGATGTTACTTTCTCATTTTTCCTCCTGTTATATTATGGTAATTTCAGCACTTGAGGGAAGAGATTGCAAATATAGATGAGAGCTGGGCTGCTGCTCGTTTTGATTCATTACCTCATGTTGTCCATATTTTGACGTCCAAAGATCGTGAAGCTGAAGTCCAGTTTTTAAAGGAGCAAAGTGATGTTGTTGAGGAGGTTGTGGATGAAGTTGTGCATAACTATCACAGTGACTTCAACAAAGCAATTCAAAATTATTCTCAGGTTTCTTATAGTTTTCTTGATCAAAATTTATAGCATTTGTCAGTTTTTTCTGTAGTCTTTCTTTAATTGCCTATTTTTTTAGCATCCACGGTGATAAAAAACTGAATCTTTTAGGTGCTTAATACATTCATATGTTTTCATACAAAAAATAAAAATGTTAAGAATGTTTTTATTTAAAAAAATTGCTGGATCTGCGTTTTAGTTTTTTCTTTTGGAGGAAGTGGGGTTTGTCGGAAACAAGAGTTTAACTCTTGCATTCTACTATCTCACTCTTTTCAATTCCTTCCAGATCTTGCGGTTGTTCAGTGAATCTACTGAAAGTGTTGGTGTCTTAAAGGTTGATTTGGCTGAAGCAAAGAAGCGTCTTAGTGCACGCAATAAACAACTGCATCAGTTATGGTACCGGTCGGTTACATTGCGTCACATAATCTCCCTCTTAGATCAAATTGAGGGCATAGCTAAGGTTTGTCTTATCTTTTCCTGCCTTTAGACCATATCAGGATCAATGGTATTGGGATAGTTTCAGTCAGTCATAGTAAACTCTTGACCATGATCTTAGCTTTTTGGAGTGTGTGCCAACAGCACTCTGCTTAATCCATTGTACTTGAGTTGTAATCATATTAGTTTCTCATACTAAATAAATCCATGAGCATGCATGCACGTATGGATGTATAATTTTTAATTTGATACATGTTAATGTGTTTGTATCCTGACCAGTGACCTTTAAAACCCATGAATTAGAAGTACAATTGCAGATTTAACACACACACACACACCCCCACATACACCTTACTACTTATGACTTAGCACTATAGTTGCAGATTTAACACACATGGTTTGATACATCTTCATTGTCTGGTATCCAGACGTAGTCATTGAACTACCAGCGATAAAAAAAATTCCAACTGAATGATCTTCATGCCATTAATTATAAATTCTGAAGATCTATCATCCATTTCAAATTGTGGCTCAGGTTCCCGCTCGGATAGAGAAGCTGATTGATGAAAAGCAGTATTATGCTGCAGTTCAATTTCATGTTCAATCAATGTTGATGCTTGAAAGGGGGGGGCTTCAAACGGTAGGTTTTTTTTTAAAGAAGCATCAAATTTTAAGTTCAATATGTTTGTCAACTCTTTTTTATTTATTTTTAAGGTGGTAATTTAAATTGATAGCTTCTCTTCAGTTGCAAACCTGGTGGCATTATTCCGATGATAATAGATATTGCAATGTTGTCTGGCTGATGCTCCAGTCTCTTTCTAAAATTTGCCTAAGGGCATCAGGACAGGGCCTTAATAGATTCATGCTTTCTCATTTTTTTTCCTTGACACAATTTAGCACTGAGAGGAAATATTTCAAAGATACCATAGTTGTGTATATGAGTTGGTAATTATAATTGATTGGCCCAGGTTGGTGCCCTTCAAGATGTTCGCTCTGAGTTGACAAAGTTGCGAGGAGTTCTGTTTTATAAAGTGCTAGAGGATTTGCATGCTCATCTTTACAACAAGGGTGAATATAGGTATTTACTTATCTCTGTCTTGTGGGGTACTTTCTTACGCCTTAGCATCACTTTAGAAATAGTAGTTTTGAGGAAAAAAGAAGAAACATATTTTACATTTTTACGTTATAATCTTCCGTTGTTTTGCATACTAATAGGGTGGTTCGGAGGTTTTGTGCTGTTTGGCATTGGGGCATTTTTCTAAAATCTGTTGGTTTCTATATTTATAGAAATTCATGTTGGCTGTACATTTTCTGTTTGTTGCTGCTGCTGCTGTTGCATGCTACTCTTGGAGTTTTTCGGGTTTAGGATAAACCTAATTTTGGTTAACCAATCGAGAAAAGGAAAAAGAAAAAAGAAAAGAAACTAATTAAGTTCTTTTGCCTTTTCGTCGTTTACTTATTCAATGGAAATGAACAAGAAAAGGTGGAGAAATAACTAGTTTTCCTCTCAAACTCTCTCTCTTTTGAATTGGTGAGATTTGAGAAGAAAGGTCTATAGGAACAGTGGTTGCCAGAATTGTATTTTCTCTTTCTATTCTTTGCATAACAAAAAAAGGAATAATATTAAAACCTTATGTGCCATTTATTTTCTCAAGTGAAAAGTGAACCAAACCTCGAGTTAATATCTTACTGTCTAATTGACTCAGAATTTTATACAAACCTATGCCATTTTGAGACAGAACTCCAACTTTGGGAGCACTTTTTTCTTCTTCTTGAGGAAATTGGTGATTGATTAATTTGCTAGATTTGTAAATCTTTATTTTTTCCTGTCCTATACCATCAAAAGCTATTTCTCAGATATATTGTCCTTGTGCTGATTATTTTCTGCAGCTCAGCTGCTTTGAGCTTGCATGAAATGGATGATGAGGTACCAACCACCACAGCTGTTGTATTTTCAATGAGTAATTCACAATCCCTGTCTCGAAGAACCAGGTTAAAAGGTGACAATCAATTTGGTATTCATGGAGATGGATCATATAGGACAGGTTCCATTGATGGGGGGTAAGATTAGAAATTATCTGTAACAGCTTGAAGCTGCTACTATCTTTATTGTTGCATGCTGGGTTTTCATTCAACCAAAAATTTGATTTACATTATATTCATTTGAAAATTCTATTACGTGGTAATTTGTGGATTTCTTTTTGTTCATACTCTCCTCTAGAATCAACGTATGTTCCCATGTCTCAAATTCTTACTTGACATTTTTTCTTTAGCTGGCTTATTTTGTGTAGTTAATTTTCTCAAGATCCTCCTGGAAGCATGTATATTTGAGTAGGACAATAATTTCGGTCTTCAGATATGGGGAAGATCCCCCACAAGGTTAAATTGTTGGAGAGAACTTTTTATTGTCTGCTTAATGCCTGTTTAAACTAGTGCTTGGAAAGAAGTTAAAAAATGGTTACTATGGTTTCTCAACCCTAATAAACGGCCAGTTCTTTGTGTCTAGGCTTTTCATGATATCCTTTGCAACATTCTTTTCCATCTGTTCGATTGAAAATTTAAATCTACTATGGATGAATTCTGTTTATAATTAGAAGATTGAATTTGAAATATTATTATATTGTGCTTTTCATTTGGTAAATTTATATTAAATTCTGAATGTTTTGTTCAGTTCGTCTTTTGATGGCCCTGATGAGGAGGGCACTCTGGAACTTCATGACGAAGCTACCTCAGATGGGCATAGGGTCAATGGTGATGTCAAAATTGTGCCTCGTGAGATGCCAACATGGCTTCAGTACTCCACCCCGGACGAATTTCTTGTATGAAGACTGATTAACCACATCACATTTTAGCTTTTGAATGAATTTCTCATTCTTCGTGCTGAAAGTTCTGGGTTTTTATTTGGGTGTAGGAAGCAATAAAGAAAAGTGATGCTCCACTTCATGTCAAGTATCTGCAGACCATGGTTGAGTGCCTTTGCATGCTTAGAAAAGTTGCAGCTGCTGGAGCTATAATATGGTTTGTTCTCTTGTTGATATACTTTTTCCTTGTTTGGTTTGTCGTCTGCTGTATTTCAAGATGATTTATCAAACAACTTCTTCGATATTGTTTTCTTCCCCATAACAGCCAAAGATTGCGACCTACAATTCATGAGATTATCACATCCAAGATTAAAACTCATGCAGAGCTTGTTAATTCTTCGAGATCTGGCATTGGGCAGGCTGCGCGACCTGCAAGTGCTGGTCTACGTTTCATGAAGGGACAGTTACAAAGTTATCAGTTGCCAAAGCAGAAGCGTCAGAATGGGATATCATTGTCTGGAACTCTTTTGGCGGTAAGCCCTGTCTCACCTGTGATGGCTCCTGCAGGGAAAGCACAGGCCGCGGCTAAAGAACTTCTTGATTCGATTTTAGATGCTGTTGTTCGGATATTTGGTGAGTTACTTTCTGATTGTTATTGTGTTCTTATTATTTCTAGTTTTTAGGTTTTTATTTATGTGCATAATATACCTTTTACGTCGAAACTGAATTCCCTAGCATAATTCTTCAGAGAACCATGTTGTTGTTGGGGAGCTTTTGGAATCAAAGTCTTCTGTTCAAACGGACATGAGCACACCAAAATCAATGCCAACAGATGTAAATTGGAATCCCGATTTGGAAGCATCTCAAGTTACTGGAGGCTACAGCATTGGTTTTTCCTTGACAGTATTACAGGTAATCTGTTTCAAGTTTTCGATGATTAATTCCAGATGATGTATCCCGTAGTCTGTTTAGGGACATGCATGTTGGTTCTAAAAACTCTTTCATATCCTTTTCTTTTCATGTGTTAAAGAGTGAATGTCAACAACTTATTTGTGAAATCATGCGGGCAACTCCTGAAGCTGCATCTGCCGATGCTGCTGTACAAACTGCTAGACTTGCAAACAAGGTCCCTTCCAAAGACAAGAGGCAAGTAAATTTGTTTTATTTTCATCTAACCATATAGTATTCCTTGTTGATTCTGCTTTTACAATATTTAGGTTTTGTTGAGTTTCTTTTCTGTTAAGGTTATGTATAGAACATTGAAAGTGATAACATGGTGGGGAATGTGTTCATTATAACCAACTGACCATGACACATTAGTTAGGTGGTGTTTCTCTGATGGCTGTTATGTATGGATTTCTGTAAGTGGTTGAGGAATAATTCTATAGGCATAATTTGTCATTGGCGACTTTAGCTCCCTTTTCTTACTCTTCTGGATATCTCCTTTTGCATGGAGTTACTATCTATGGACTTATACCATTTTTTTCATGATGATGGGTAACAGGAATGGTGCAGAAGAGGGTCTTACCTTTGCTTTTCGCTTCACGGATGCTACTATTTCCATTCCCAACCAAGGTATGCTGGATTTTGCTCCTGCAGTTCCTTTTCCTTTATACACCCACACATGGGCATCACTTAAATATTCTGTATCTATCCCGGCTAGAATGTCAACCTTATCTAATGGGTAATGTCAAATTATGGCATTCTTGAATTAGATTGATGGTGTGGTTTCAACAACCTTTGTTAGGTTTTATATAGAAATTTAAAGGCAGTTCTGTGTAAGTGATGGTTTATAAATAATTAAATATGAGTGATATGAATGTTGCTAAGTTACTTGGACCCTTCACTTCATCTTGTTGCTTTATACGGCTGTCAATAAGACAAGACACAGGTAAGTGGTAAGGGGCACTAGGAATTGCAGATGCATAGAAGACCTTCGGAGAAAGACAAACCCTGATATACTTGGGCATCGACCCTCGTCTGACTCCCATACCCAAGTTCATGTAACATATGTGATTGCACGAACTCCTTAGGAAATGAGCTCTATTTGCGTAGTTATTTGATGAGCTACTTGTTATGTATATGAGAAGCCTAAAATTCACATCAGAAATCTGATGACAGAGGTTTTTTTACTTCTAAGGTCCTAATAAAGTCGTTTGTTGATTGCACGAACTCCTTAGGAAATGAGCTCTATTTGCGTAGTTATTTGATGAGCTACTTGTTATGTATATAAGAAGCCTAAAATTCACATCAGAAATCTGATGACAGAGGTTTTTTTACTTCTAAGGTCCTAATAAAGTCGTTTGTTTTTCATGATAGACACAATAGATTGATATGGTACTTGCTGATTATTGAGCTTGTCTGATGTGTGTTAAAGGTTACTTAATATATTTTTTCATTTATCTTGCTGTTGTTTCCTATATTGCTGCACATTAGCATGATCATGGAGTATGCAATGGTTAATTTTGCAAATAATAAATCAGTGCTTATCACCCCAAGGATTGCATAGAGCAACCTTATTGCTCAGATCGCTTTCACCTTTTTCTTATATGTTTGAAATGATTTGTTGTCTGTAACTGAAGATACAGTAGATAATGAAGAAGGATGCTCTTGCCCATCCTTCCACAAATATGAGTCAGTTTGTTATGCGGTGGGTTTTTCGAAATCATTTGCTTTGTGGTGTTTGATACCACAACCAATCCTCAAGTTGGAGTTTCTGTTTAAGACTTTCTTAGGGGTGCTTTTCTAGTTTTAAGACTTTTCGATAGGCTGCTGCTTTCATAAGAAACATTCTTCTGGACTATAGTATTTTATTTTATTTGTGTGTCTGACATTTCTATTAGTTATTAACATGTTATCGTGGCCTGCATCTTCCATTCTCCAGGGGTTGATCTCATTCGTCAAGGCTGGAGTAGGAAGGGTTCAAACGTATCACAAGAAGGTTATGGGTCTGCAGCTATCTTGCCTGAGCAAGGCATATATCTAGCAGCATCTATATACCGGCCTGTTATTCAGGTTTAGATGTTGTTCTTAATCATGTCTTTAAACATGAGATGTATGATTTGTGCACAGTGGGTTCTTCTTTTGGCCTTTCTGACTTTCTGTGTTCTTCAGTTTACAGATAAGGTCGCATCAATGCTTCCCAAAAAGTATTCCCAGCTAGCGTAAAGCATCAAAACCTTTTTTTTTTTTTTTTTTGTTTTTTTTTTGAGTGCTTATGCATATGGCATTGATGCTAGTGATTCTTAGTGACTGTCACACTATTTTACATTTTCTTGCTTAATCAAATATTCATCGGCATGCAAAGTGAAATATGTAGGTAGAAGAAAATCCTGTTGAGGAAGGTAAAAGTTGCGTGTGTCCAGTAATTGTCCTGTAGTTGGTTCAGTTGTTCCAACTATATATCGAAGCCTATAATTCCTCATATTCATATTTGTATCAACTGTTTCTCAGTTGCCTATCATATATCAGTATTGATTCGCAAGTTTGGGTAGACAGCCAGGAGTCTGAAAGCCATCAGTTTTTGTTAAACACACAAGGCAATATGTGATGAAACCCTTTTCATACGTAGTCACAATGATAAAGGTTTAACTATTTTAGGGGCAATGTTTCAGGAATATGGGTTTGAAGTTTGGTATCCCTCAACCATAATTTGTAGTCTTACTAATCTCCATGCATAAGCACATACTGTGTACTTTAAATATTGGAATCCTCCAAAATTTGGATTCTTGCTGTTTGAAGTTGGTTATGCTTAGGGTGTTAGAGAAGAACTATTGATTAAGTGATCTCTTTGTTTTGTTTATTGATCCACATATGAATTTGGTTCATCTTCTTCATTATCTACCATTCTCCTGTTATTATAGGTGTTGCAATTCCTCCTTTTTTTAATTATCCATTTGCTTTACTGGAAAAAATTGTAATGCCAGCTTCTGAATCTGCAGTAATGATGGATTGCTGGCTTTTGTGGAGAACTTTGTGAAAGACCATTTCTTACCAACGATGTTTGTAGACTACAGAAAAGGCGTGCAGCAAGCTATATCAAGCAAGTTCCATAACTAGTTACTCTACAATGACTCCTTTTGTTTCTTTTAACTTGCATAGCATGAAACTTTGTTGGCCAAATGATTTCACTCATGTGTAGATACTTAAATGTTTAATAATATTTGAGTGTAAGCTGTCTCTCTTAAAGGTATCTTACCCAAGTAAGAGATTAAAGACTCATGCCCTTTTGTATAATTCCTAATTGTTTGCAGACACCATTTCTGTAAACAATAAGAGAGAATTCTATTATTACTGCCTTGCACATTCAGAACATTGAACACAAGTTTTCTCGTCCATAATATAACAGTTACTGTGCAAGAAAGCAAGTGGAGGAACAGGAATACATAGTTTCTTAATTGTCTAGACATGTTTATTAAAAGAGAATTCTTATTTACTAACTTTTCAAAATAATTCCTGCTACTCAAGTGATTTTGAAAGTTGCACTCTGGATTATGTCATAAAATTATGTAAAGATGAGTATGTTTGTGTGACTCGTATGGTCACCAGTCCTAATTATTATATTTTTTAAACACCTGATATGGTCATCAGGCTTTTGGGATCTTCATTTGCAATAAAAGATCTGATTTCGGGAAGCATTCTCATTCTTATAGGTCCAGCTGCATTCCGGCCCAGAGCACATGCTGCTGCTTCTTATACTCCATCAATTGAGAAGGGTCGACCTGTCTTACAGGGACTGCTGGCAATAGATTATTTAGCAAAAGAGGTAAGTTTTAGTTTTTTTTTCCAGAGAATTCTTATACTTTATAGTATTGCAGTGGTGTCTCTCTACTCCATTGTAGAACATTTTTTTTAACATCATGCTCAAGTTATTTCACATTTATGGATGAATAATCTCCTTCGAAATAATTTACTCTAGGTGCTTGGTTGGGCACAAGCTATGCCTAAATTTGCTGGTGACCTTGTGAAGTATGTGCAAACTTTTCTTGAGCGAACCTATGAAAGATGCAGGACCTCATACATGGAGGCAAGGATGTTTCCCTTTTCACTTTCCTATTGACTTAGCACAACAATATTATTTTTGGATATGTTATTCTTTGCTTCTTTTCCATTGATTATTTTGTGTTTACTTCTTGTTTTTCTTTATGTTAATGTTTAGAGTATTTAATGTTCTTCTGGATTGGTTGTTTCAGCTGTTGTAGACAATTGTTATCTCTTTCTTTTCTAAGGGAGGAGATGTGGAGTTTAACGGACAAACACTAAATTGACATTGTGTTATAAAAAATTTAGTTGCTGTACAGTTTCTGGAATGGTGCCAATCCTAAAATAACTTAAATGAATGATGCCAACTGTACACAAATATAAATATCAACAATTTTAGGTTGATTTTCACATTCTGTCATTTATAAGTTCTTGATTTCTGCACCCTGATAAATATTACTTGAGATGGTTCATATCCAGTGGGTGGCACATGCCATGACAAGTGATCGCCTTTATTGTTTCATTCAATTTTTGTATTCTTCAGGCAGTTCTGGAGAAGCAGAGCTATATGCTCATTGGCAGACATGATATCGAGCAATTGATGCGTCTTGATCCAGCAAGTTCATGTTTACCAAATGCATTTGGTCAGTCAAATATTGAAAACCATGCTTCGGATTCTGAAAATCTTGAGGTTGAATTAGAACTAAGTGATTTGTTATTGAATTTGCGGCCTATTAAGCAGGTATTTCAATTGCTGTTTGATGGTACATTCTTTCCATTTGAATGTTCAACATGTCATTTTTATCTTGTTTCTTGTTTTTTTTTGTTCAGTAAAAGATTTTAGATTAACTTCTCTTCAGATCATGTAGTATTGAAGCCTTGCTAATGAAGTAATTGATTTATTCATTGAATGTTAAGATTATGGATTGACTTTCTTTTTCAACTCTGCCTCTTACAGGATAATCTAATCCGTGATGATAACAAACTGATATTGCTGGCTTCCCTTAGTGATTCATTGGAGTATGTTGCGGAGTCTATTGAAAGGCAAGCTCTCATCTGGCCGCAGTCTAGAATTTATTTTGGAATTTTCTTTTATTAGTTTCAGTGGGTGTGCAAATGATCACATAGTGGAAAAACAGGAAACTTGTTAGTTTAACCAAGAAGCAGAAAGATCCTATTCTTAGTCCCTATGCTCTTCACCATGTGGAAATGAGTTGTGTTATATAATGTGTTATCATGAGAATAATTATGAATCTACTTGTGTGAACGTTATGCTAATGAAATTGTTTGATGCTAACTTTTCCTTCCCTAGAAAATGGATATCCAAGAACTTATGTTACCTTAATGGATGCGAAGAATCTGTTTTTAGAAGTTTGGTGTTTCACACACTCATGAGGGAAGTCTTAATTCTTTTCAGAACTTAGCTAAAAGAAGAATCTACAACCCCCTCATTTGCTGATTGATCCCATTTGTTTTCAATTTGCACAAGTCTCAACCTCAAACATAGGATCATTTTGATATTTTTGTTCAGTTTGGCATCTTACAGTTGTTTCATATTTCATTGAAAAGTTGGCTTTTAAATCTTTTCAGTAGCAATTTATTTATGATAGCTTAAATGGAGCACAATTTTTTGCATTACATAGGCTTGGGCAGACAACCTTCAAAGCTCCAAATCAAGTAGAAGAGAGTGGCAAGAATCATCATCAACGAACAACTAGTGCTGCATCCAGGGATCTAGCATCATTTGCAGATGAGTATAGAAAATTGGCAATTGACTGCCTCAAGGTTTTACGTGTTGAGATGCAATTGGAGACAATTTTCCATATGCAGGTATGTGAGATGTTCACAAATACAGTCTAGTTTGAGAGCGATACATGTTAGAATTGTCCTGCAATAAGAATAGCATTTTAGGACTGAAAATTGTGGTTTAAACAGGAAATGACAAATAGGGAATACATGGAAGACCAGGATGCGGAAGAACCAGATGACTTCATTATTTCACTTACTGCACAGGTTAGCTCATCTCCAGCTTTAGCATATTGGAAACACTAAACACTACTGCTTTTGTACTTTTCTCTCTTGATTTGGAGGGATATGCTAAACACAGAAATGACTATACCCTACTGCTTTTTAAAGGAAATGTATTTTAATAAAGGAATTAATTCCTTAAGAACCACTTTTTCTGAGTGCCACATTTTCTTGGAAATGGACCTTACATTTTATTTGTGTTTCTCTACCCATAGATAACACGCAGAGATGAGGAAATGGCACCTTTTGTTGCGGGAGTGAAGCGGAATTACATATTTGGTGGAATTTGTAGCATTGCAGCAAATGCATCCATCAAGGTTTGTACCTTCTATAGAATCTATTGTTAGATCATTCATGAAATTCCATCTGCCGGTGTTGCACATTGTAGTTTCAGAGATATATACTATATACTATATATACTTGTACATTTCTTCTATTCCTTTCAGACTGAATTTTTTTTTCCTTCTGTTGATTGCTGAATGCTGATGAGAGATAATGCAATCTTAACAGGCTTTGGCTGATATGAAATCCATCAACCTTTTTGGCGTTCAGCAGATATGTCGGAATTCAATTGCACTTGAACAGGCAAGTCATTTTCTAATCCATATCTGATATGGTTTAATGCATTTCCTAATTGCTAGACGTATTTGATAAATCTCACTCTCTGTTAATACTTCAGTCTGTCAATGAGTAGGTCTTGCCATGAAAGTTTTCCCTTTAAATAGAATATCATCAAGTGGAATGGAACATGACTCTATAGGGCTTATAAGCTTGTGATGAATCATAGTTTGAGTGATTGGAATCGAGAAGTCTTTTCTAAAAGATTGATCAATTGGGAAGTTGCATTGTCTTTCATGTATAAAGGGGATAGAGAGACAAGTGTTATGGTATTCTGTTTAACTTTATGCTAAGAATTGCATTTGCTTGTCATATGTTGAAAATGCCCGGGACAAATGCACTTCCCCATATACAAAACCACCTCATTAATAAATGCCCAAGGAACATGGTGAATTCCTTTACCTCCTGTTGGTCTTGCTGGAGTTTGGTATCATTCTCTAGAGGGTTGACTTTGAGTAAGAGCTAGTCGTCATATAATTTTTAACCTAGTTGGTTTTCACTTCAATCCATAAATCCTACCCCGAATGTTGAGATAAAGCTTTCTGATTTTGATCTTGAATTTAGTAAGTTTACCACCTTTTTATTATTATTGGCATTGCAGGCCCTGGCTGCTATCCCATCAATTAACAGTGAAGGTGTACAACAGAGACTAGATCATGTCCGGACTTACTATGAACTACTAAACATGCCATTTGAGGCAAGTCATCGGTATCAAAAAAATTTATTTTACTCTGCAAATTTTGTAATTTCCAGTGATCAATATTCTCTACCTATTTGTAGGCCTTGCTAGCCTTCATCACAGAGCATGAGCACTTGTTTACAACCTCAGAGTTAGTCAATACATCTCTCTTAACTATTTATTATGGTCAGACAAACAAGTGTAGCTGCCGAATAACAAGTTACATTTCTCTGACAGGTACGCAAATCTTCTAAAGGTCCAGGTGCCAGGAAGGGATATTCCTGCCGACGCTCAAGATCGTGTATCAGAGATTTTATCCCGTTAGCGTTCTTTTGGATTTCTTTTTTGTTTGTCAAGATTGGTGGGTTCTTTGTACTGGAAAAGGTGCTAGCATGCATGTAAAGTGTTGGTCATTATTTCTCAAATTGGCGGGCGCAGCAAAAGCAGGTACAAAAGCAAATTTTGTGATAGTTGCCACCCAACATGGGAGACCATGTTGTGGCAATTTTATTTTTTGTTGTTGCTGAACTGTAGAATGACGAGATTAGTATCGTTCTTTCTGTTTTTATTATTTGATGTGTAGTGTCAATTTTATTATTATTTATGTTTGCAATCTGTAAGAACTTAATGCTTAGTATAAAAGCCAATGTAAATTTCATGGTAGTTAATAATAGTAAATCATTTGTATCTCGATGTGTCAGTTTATCCAAGTACTAGGACTGGGTTACACCTCAACCCGGTTGATCAAATTTCACTTTGAATATCTGCTGTTTGATTGAAAGTGTTTTTAGCTTTTCCAGAAGCACTCCTAACATGCCCTAAATAAATATGGTTCTGCCGTGTGAATGATTTACTGACATCGTGATTTAACTCTTGTATGATTGTATTACTTAGGGATGGAATGAGATTGGACATTGTTTTTCTTTAATCAAAATAACTATGTAAAAATGGTCTGAGTTCAAAGCCCGAGGTTCAAGATCCGACTCAGGGTTTAAGCCTAAGGCCTAGGCCAAGATCTTGGGGTAATTTGGGTTTTCAGTCCAGTCAAATCCACCTTAAACTGCTGTTTCTGGCCCCAAAACAAGTTTTTGATTTTATGAAATAGAGTATCACAACACAAGTACTGTTTCTTCGTAAATCTTTCCCACTTAATTTTTTTTAATTTTAATTTTTTCGATATGTCCTTTTTGTATTTTCGGCCTTATAAATGATTAGCAAAAGAACTCGGCTGGTAATAGCATTTCCACGTAAAAATCATTGTAGATCTCCCAATCCATGCATCACGCAAAACCAAGGCCCAGAGACTTCATTCTTTCAAGTCCAGACTTCCAATTTCAGTTGATAAAAAAACACATATGGCTACAAAACAATATGCTACAAAGGCTGTGATTCCATACACGTTACTATTCAGCATGCATCTCATTGTGAAATTTTGAATTCACTCTCAACGCCTTCTTTGCTAAGTTGCGGATATCTTCCCTACTGGATTCGACTGATATTCGTACAATCTCGTTCAGTCCTCCACTGGAAATGAAATCTCTTGCATTTTCCTCTGCATGAATAATAGATAATAGAATTACTGCCTTAGTAGTTTATGATCTGAAAGGTAAACAGGTTCAGTCATCATCCCAAGCATCAAAATTTCTAAACCTAGAAAGTGCAGCATCTGACCAAATTGTATACGAATTATTCTTTAAAACTTTCAAAAACTTGAGGAATGTAATGTAATCACTATTGGTTGTCTGATTGATTTGAAATATGTAAAATTCTCAGTCAAAAATGCTCAAGTCCAGTCAGTGGGGTTATTACCATTTTGTGCCAAATGGCAGAGAGCAAGCTCCATATGGCGTTGTGTTGAAGTTGAGGTAGTCTTGGAGTTGCCAATCAACCAGGTAAGGGCACCATCTTCCATCAAAAGTGAACGACCTTTTCTGTGTCCTGCATATGTTAAACTCCGTACTCAATAAAACGCAGCGTTAAATGTACACAACTACAAAAAGGGCAACTTCTACCAACCTTGAAGAATTCCACGGGATTCACATTTTGCAAAGTTAGCCAGCCCTCTAGCAACCTGAGCAACAACATCGCTGCTCCCGGACCTCGCCATTTCCAAGAGTGCCTTAATGCCTCCATCTTCTTTCAGCATCATGTGTAATCTTTCTGTAATTAACAAAAACCACGCATGCCTCCGTCCATTTAGAAGGACACTTAAGAGATAACATAATAAGATACACTTGGAGTTTAAACCATGTTTTGAGTACTCAACCACGTATGGCATAAACGATATGATGATGCTAATTAGTGATTCGGTTCAAGGAAAGATCATTCGGTACTTCGAAGTTAAACCGTGTGCCCATATGCTATGTACAAAAGTTATTGACAAAGTACTCTAAAAGCATCTTATGCTTACCATTTCCGCATAAATTAGCGAGTGCTCCAGCAACCATTCTAAGAGTTTGTGGATCATTTGTCTTGCATGCTGTATCTGCTAGTAGTTGAGCTCCACCTCTGCTCATAATTAAGCCTTGATTTAACTCTGAGAAGAGTTAAAAGAGAAACAAAAGACAAAATAAGAAGAGAAGGATATAAATTAAGGAAAACGATCAAGATTCAACACTCTAAAGGGTCTTGCCTTTCCTAATATTAAGGAGTCATTTTCTGCCGACCTTACTACAAGACCACGAGATAGCAGGCAATACATAGTTTTATATTTGTCAACAAATGTGCAGTTAAATGTTCATATAATCAGCAACTCCAATGGTATATGTTTAATAATCAGATTGGTTTGCATTTTCCACAAGCATGCTACAGTGCGTGAAAAAAGGAATCAGGTTTACCATTCATTGCCAAATTGGCAATGGCCCCAGAAGCCACTCTAAGGATAGTTGTATTTTGTGAGGATCGCAACAGCGTAAGCAAAGCATCTAAACCGCCTTCCTCCACAATCTTTGCCTGATTAGTATCTGAAAATAAAGGAAAACCTTAATTGGTACACATAACTAAATCCTCAAGTTAACTGTTGGCCCTGTGACAGGAGCAGTGATAGATCATGAAAGAGACCTTTCAAATCAAATGCATACAAATATGCCATAGAAGATCACTATTATAATTTATGAGAAAATCAAAGTAGCATGCATCAATTTTATAGGAACACAAAGTTTTTTCCCATTAGACTGATTTTCTGATGTCAACCTAATAACACATGGCATTTGATTGTGGGGATTAAGATTTTCTCTATTTAACAGTGGGATTAAAGATAATTGGCAAATAACGGTGAAAAATAGTTGTTGAATAACGCCCGCATCAAATATTACTAGCAATATTATGTAGTTATTAATACAAGATCAATCTACTGGAAGTTATTTTGACTGCTTTTAATTTTTGTTACTGAAAACATCCAAAAATAACTTTGTTGTTGATTAGGCAAAACAAATAAACAGCTACTTTGGATCACGAAATGTGTGTGCTGCTTTCTATCAAGAAGTGTGCGTTTGCGTGTGTCTAGAAACATAAGTAGCATGTACGTACTGACACATACCCAAGAGCTAACAAAATTTGATATTAAGATTTATATAATATATATTTTTCTTGACAAATGACAAGCAGTGTTAGTACTTCAACCAATCTTTTAACATGAACACTCCTTTTTTCATTTCTTTTTTGGCCTGAATATGAATATTCTTTTACTTGGCCCATATTTACATATTTTATTTTTATTCTACTAGGATCTAAGCAAAATCTGGATCATACTTCGAGTTAACCTGTCCCATATCTTAACCAAATTCCAGAATAAGAACTTCAGTGAAACAGATGCACGTCTTTCTTTAACAGAAACACTAACAAATGCATATTACATAAAGGTAGAATAATGCTACCCAATTAAATGACCAAATGGGCTAATTTTTCTGGTTTTCTGCAAATTACACAGCTACGGTACGTCCTATGTTTTTGCATTATGAGAAAACTAGAAAAATGTTCTCCAAAGAGTTCCTGAGAAATTTCATCTAGTAAAATCAAGTTAAGACAAGGTAATTTGCAAAAACTATAAACTTAAGGACGACAGCAATTCATAAAAGATGGAGGGAAAGGGGTAAAAGGTCAGATGCAGAATGCCCATGAAACACATTGCAACAATAATACCGTCAACTCCTTTGAAAGGGATGAAAAGCATGCATTTATCCGCTAATATAGAATAGAAAATAAAGGAAAATGCGTACCTTCAGCTGCAAGATTGGCTACCACCTTCACAGCGTGGGTTTGGACATCTGAATCTTCGGATGTCAACAATTGCAAGATCTTTTGAAGCCCCACTGAATTCATTTAGTAAATTAAATTGTCAACGGAAATATTTCAATGAGTGGAATTGGAAAAGGCAAAAATAGTTCTCCAAACTTTGTGGCTTTATTATATAATAAATCTTACTCTCTTCACATAATTTTGCAATTGTGGCCCTCTGACCAGAAAGTGTATCCCTTGATGGATTTGAATTGTGTAATCCCATTGGATTCCCAAAAGCAGAAGATCCTTTATGTATATTTTGCTTCATATATGATTTCTTGTCCTGGAGAACTTCAAATATAAGAACTTATAATTTAATGATGAATGTCATATTTTTGAAAATGCATTAACAACTTGCCTCAAAATCATCTTCTTTCTCTGGTACAGCCTTCTTTAATTTGACCAGCTCATTCTCTACAGACTTCCTTTGCTTCTCTTCAATTAAAAGCCTTTGCTTCACATCTTGAAGTTCTTCACTGAGTCTTGCCTTTATAGTCCCAATTACAGAAAAGATCATGAATATTTTAGTATCTCAACCTTAACTGAAAACTAAACTCATTTAAACCGTAGGTGCAAATGCATGACCACATCGAAATCAGTATTAGTCTACATGTTGAGGGGGAAAAATACTGACCCACACTTTTCCTTTTTATATGTTAACCGTACCTTCTCCTCTGATAGATCAGTACACTCTAATTTCAAGGACTGAACTTCATTTACAGCTTGTTCATGTAGCTGATTCATTTCTTGTAACTTCACTTTAAGTTCACCAATCTCCTTCTTCCCCTGGATTTTAAACCACGGAGCAACATATTTTAATAACAGTGTGTGTAAAGGAGTCTTGAATTTTGGAGAATCATCAAACCAGGGAGAATAAAGGCAGATAGCGGCTGCATAAAAACTTTGCCCAACTCAATAAAGAGTACAATTTCAATTATTTAGGGATAATCTTTTTTTTTTGGGCCTATATACATGTTAAAAATAATAGTATTGGATAAATGCCACCAGAAGCACCCTGGACTCTTCCAAATACATGGCACATCACAA